TAACAAACTATATTATGCCTTGTATTTTCAGTATATATAAATACATGAATATAGAATAAATTAGTATACATATTAAACTACATGATAGGCTTCTTAAACTATTCAGTGGAAAAGTATTTTTATTTAAACATGCAGCAGCGTTTAAAGAACAAGTTATAACTTCACTATTTATCAACACTACTGACCAATTAGCATTTAATATGAACTAAACAATTTCAGACTATATCCTCTGTTACTATTTAACAGATGCATATAAGAATCTTTGAAGAATAAGTCAACCAGTTTGTTAAAAATCAAAACATGCAAATAAATTAAATGACAAATAGGGAAAAGTAGACAAATAGAATTTTTATTAATTACTAGAATATACTACTAATTTTTTAGTTTTTCAATACTTGATATTAAAAAAGTCATTTTATGGGTTGTAGATCACTAGTTAAATCACTGAATTCTGAAGGATTATAGCAAAAGTACAAACTTACCCTTGAGTACACAAGGAAAATGATCATGTCATTAACTGTGTACAGTTTAAAATATCTAACAGAATTATCTCTTAGAATAGAATGAATAATATGTATTGACTCCTTATCTGAAGAATGTAATAGCTCCGATCAGCTGGATAAGACAAAAACCTGATACGATATTATATATATATATATAAATTATAACCCAAAATTAACACGTAAATATTTTAAAAAAAATGTAAACAGTAAACCAAGATGAACGTAAGCAATAGTTTCAATACAAAGTTCAATTACAAAATGAGGAATATTCTTGGTATAAAAAAATGAATAAAATATTTCAACAAAACACATAGTACTATGTCCAGTGAATTTACAACAATATCAGTATAACCATTTTCTTACCGTTCATTACTGTCACAATTATGCAATCAACAAATCAAAGCGAAGCACATCAACATTCATAGGCAGTTATAAGTGACAAATAATTATGAAAGATGAATGTGAAATAACTTATACAAGAAAAAAAAAGTTAAATTTTTGTAGACAACCAATGTATTCAATTCTGAAGAACAGAATTTAAGTGTATCAATTCATTTTGGAAATAAAACCTCCCCTGATTAACACACTATATGAATAAATCTACCAAAAAGTAAGTAAAGAGGAAGATATACAAAAGAAAATCATAATACAATAAAAGAATATTTGATTGTTATTTCAATGAATTAATAAATATGTGTACAAATACATGTTAACTTTAACAAAACATACAACAGGCAATATGATTGCAACAACTACAACAATATAGAATACAACTGACTAAATTAGATAAAAAGAATATTAATTAGGTAAGTAAAGAAAAAGAATAGTATACTTGAACTCAGTGTAAAAATACTATTAATAATTATTATACAGATATTATATATATGTGTTCATTTCAAAAGGTTTTGTCTTAATAATTAAAAAAAACTCAGAAATTTGGTTAACCGGGAGATCATCGTTTATTTTTTCCTCTTCCTAAGTATAAAAAACCTTTTCGAAGTCGAGAAGACAAGTAAGGCAGTAAACAAATAAGGAGTAAGAGAGAGAGATGAAGAGACATGTAGTTTATCATATAACCATTTAAAAATGTGACTAGATTCAAAATTGAACAGAAAAGAATGTTTTTTTCCTTCATAGATAAAGAAACCATCATTAGTCATAATATCTAAGTCGAATAAACTGTAGATAATGATCAGTAGAGAAATATGACAAAAGAAAGCAATAACAACGAGTTTTACCAAGTAAATTAATAAGAAGGCAACTTAGGAAGAAGAGGAATTTGTGTTACAGTGATAATACAAACACATAACAAACACTCGAATATCATCAAATAAAAACAGTGTGGATATTAAAACAACAACAACACATAACACTAATTAATACCGACAACAATATATTCGAACATAATAGAGCAAAACAAAAGTATTGATGCAAACCAGCTAGATTTTTCTTTAAAAAAACAGGTTTGAAATGACTAACGTTTTTTAAAAATAAACACTGTACTTCAAATGAATATTACAAAACAATATGTTTAAATGTGTCAATCTCTCCAACTTGTAAACAACAAATCAATGGTGAGTTAAATGAACTGGATACAGAGAAGAAAACGATAATGATCATTTAGATAAGATCTTAATATTTATATATAAATTAATTGAAGCACAATCAAAACAGAAGACTACACATATGTATGTAGATCTGTCAGTTGACTAGTCATCACAAACAATAAGAAACACCAAGTCACAATGAACAAACTAACGTGAATTACAAAGAAGAAAAAAAAGAACAAATCAAAATGTAATGAACAAGCAAAAAGACAAGTTAACTGATTGATTTGGGCGTACACAACAAGCTAATAGGTGTGTAGTGTGTGTGTGGACAATTGTTTGATTTATGGACAGAAATTAAAAAGAAAACTTTTCAATTATTATTTTCAGATAAACGATTGCGATGTGGATGAACCTCAGCTTGCAATGGTTCCGATATTAGACCTATGAAATAAAATAAATAATTTATCATTTATAAATATATATACGAATAGATCTATAAAATGTACAAAAATACAAACAAAGTGTTTATTATTTTAAAAAAAAATGATTATCATTAGTTGAATGATTCAATTAACCGAAATTAATAGAATCATAAGATTAATATACATTGCTGAAGAGTCCCATACTAGGATAAAGTGACCGTCCAGTGCTTCCAAATTTTTAATAGTGGTCTAACATCGATCGATTCATGATTTCAATCAAAAACTTACCAATCTCCACAATCCCATACTGAAGCAACAATAATAGTTGAAAATGAAAAAGAAACCTACGGAGGAGGATTACGAATGACTTATCATCAGATTGAGTTTTAAGCGGAATAATATATAGTAGTATTTAAAGAAAACGTGTACGTTCTCAGTTTAAAGATACTTAAGATTATTTAACGATTTTAACAATAATAAAAGAAGATATAATACTAATTAAATTTTTCATGAATTATGAACGAGATGGTTAGTTATTAAACAAAAATAAGTGTACTTCAACTCTCCCTCATACAAATAATCAAGCTGATATGGATAAAGATCGATTACAGTGGTGCAGATGTATCCACTATTTATACGTTAATAGGTGGAAAGTTTAAAATTATATTTTATTAATCCCTTTCAAATTGAATTGTCATGTTTACTTCTAAACTACGATTGTAAGTAATATTATTTCGAATCGATTAGTTTATAACTCATGAGTTACTCAATGATCAACCAAGTTTACATACATCTCTGTCTCATCGGTAATATCTCTGACTGTGAAGTTGGGTGACACAGGGTCTATTATTATTTTTAGTTATCCACGTTTAATAACAAGTTTAGTCTAGGCCCGTGATTTGATTACATTATGAACGGACGATGAATGAACCGTGACCATAAATTCTCCATTTGATTTGGCATATTCTACTTAGATATTAATAAAAAAGCAAATACGAAATAAGTTAGACAAATTTATTTCAAACACGAATTGACTCTGACAGACGTTAAGATGAGAGATACAAAGCGGATGAGAATGTCTCAACTTAGTGAGTAATATGTGATTCATTTCTGATAAGTACGAAAGAGACAGACACCATGTACTAGCATACAAGCATCGTCATGGTCACATGCAAGTAATTGGCAAGGTCATACATATGGATGATAGGATAATTAAAAAAGATTAGACTAATTTTTCTGTACCAGGGTTAGAACAAATCACGTAGCGATGTGACAACAAAATTTTGGTATATTAGTACTGTGATTATTAAATACATATATTCAATATTGTGAACATCGATGATGAGGACTAGAAAGTAGGACAGTGATACAGTTTCTGTTGATAACATTCTAAATTTCTGTTTACAGAGAAGTTAAAGAATTTTTAATGCATTATTACCATTAATCAAGTAAACCTTAATGAATATTAACATTATGCACAGTCGAAGAATAGAAAAACTTAAGACTATAAAATACCAAAAAAATATTAATTAGTTGTCGCATGAAATAAATATATACATACAACAATGCTTAACTTCGGCTTGAGGTCAAAGATTGATAACCTTTAGTAGGAAAACTCACATAGTGTAGAATAGACAAGAAAATAAGCAATTTACGAGTCAATTCATAATAGAAAAACAAATCAATTGGGAATATGATGTGAAAGAAATTTCCAGTTACTGCCACTGTTTGGTGTTAGAAGATAATGCTTAAAGTTATGAAGGGTTCACGTAAGAATCATTTATGAGATGATTATGGAGTGAGTTATACTATCACCCACACAAAGTATATACTTTCAAAAAGCATCTTCAACCATTATATTGTATGACTATTCAAAAAAGAAAGTAGTACACTCAGTGGTTAAATTCACATATACCTAGTCAACTCTGATCGGGTAACCCAACAATATTATTTACAAGATTTAAAAAACTAGCTTAAAAGGATCGCGGATAGGAATATTGTAAACAGTAGAAGCATTAGAAATCCACTGTTACCAAAGTGGTCGGTATTCAGAAGACGTCGAATACTTCATTTTACCTTGAACCTAGAACGTTCTTCTACGTTTGGGAGTTTGTACTCTTTGTTTGTTACTTTTAAAAAAAACACTTTAAATATTTATTTAAGCGGGTAATTATATTTCAAAATTCTAATTCAAAATTTATCTCCACCTTATTTCACTTTTACCTCATCGTTTATGAAATATTGAGAAAATGAGTGCGATTTACAATTATATTTTAAATAACACAATATTTATCTACTATATCAAAAACTTAGTTGTGCGTATGAAAGAAGACTTTGTGGGGAAACCAACTTACTTTTTTATTTAGAACCATGGCCTTTGTAAAGTATGGAAATCAGGCATTACATACATCATTTGCACATCTTCCTTCGCTCGTTCCTTACACACTACATCATTCTTCCATTCTAGTTGTTATTCCTATTGCTCCCAGTTTTCCCCACCTTTCTCTTTGTTTCAATCTTCTTTTGGTAAGCACTTCATTCCCAGTTCCTACTATATACTACTTATGCTTTTCCACATGAACAATGCACACCATAATAATACTTTAAGTACGGTCAAAAAACAGTACAAAATAAGACAAAACGATAAAATGACAAGATACCTGCTAGAATTTCATCCATCATTCCATCTCCTGTAATCTGTCTAGTACGATTTTTAAATCGTCGTTTAGCCAACCTAGCTTCTTGTGCCAAACGCTTCTAAAATAAGAAGAAAAAACAGTCGCACTCAAGTGCTACAAAGCAGAGAAAAATTTTCTAATTCCACACAGAAAAAATGTGAAGATCAATCTTTTCAAGGCAAAAACAATCATTTGATTTAAAAGCATTAATTATGAGCGCGAATCAGGAAACCAACTTACTGAGATAAAAATGAAGGGAGTGATTACATCTAATTCTATAAAAAGTCACATTGAAGTACGAAGACAAATGTGAGCGATAAAATCATATTACTTACTAGTAGGCTGAAAGTCACTAATTAAATTCACCACGTAAACGAGATCGAATAGTTGCGAACTTCAAAATAACCAAATGAACCAAACTTGTATATTTATCGAAATCATTTGGACAGACTACAAAAACTCAGTTTATTAGCAAATGTGTTCAGTTCGATAAAATTAAGGTGGATTTTCATACTTTGACACCAATAAATTATTGTTTTAAAATCAAAAAGTGTTCTTATAAGAGAAACGATAGTAAAATGAAGATCCAGCTCTTAAATATTTTAAGCAATCACCTAACATACTGGATGAATTGAAATTGCATTGCACAATAAACTGAAATTCGTTAAACAGTAAAACAGGTCGATAAGATGTGTAAAATAAGTATTCATGTGGATTATTCTATGTTGTCATAAGTAAATTTGGTGAAAATATAACACTGGATTGTATGAAGTGTATTAGACTTTTCATAATAAGCCGTATTAACTAGAATTAAGCAATGTAACTGGGTGGAGTAGAAACACTGCTACGGTTGGGATCACTGGTAGTCTCACTTATTATTTACCAAATTTAGTCTAAGGAAATACTTGGTAATGTTTAATGTAAAACAATAAAGAAAGGAAATGCTAGTTAGTTAGGAGCTTTTAGCCTTCGAATATGGAGTTTTATGGTTGAATGAACTGAGAATGACTTGGTGTAGGGAAATTAACAGTAACTTCAGTACTCGTACAACATGATATACATCAACAGAGTTGTGCTTGCAATTGATCTAACACTATGGCTTATATTTAATTGATAACAGTGTATACATATATGTCCTTGAAAGATCACTATTATGCAGTACATTTAATCTATATTCAAATAAAATATACAGTCAAGCCTAGAGGTGTTTTGATAGGAAGAATAACTGATTTACAAAACGAGTAGCTGAAACGAAATTCTAAAAAACGTTGACACAGGTAGGGTAAGTATGTTTTTGTGATGTAAAGAAAACTAGAAGTGAAAAGCATACAACGATTAACCAAATTCGCTCTTAAACAAATGGATATAGTAATCCTCTCAACTAAATTTCACAACACAGTTGAATCAATATTCTTACACATTTGAATACAAAGTTATGTGTGGTCTTGTGCAAATCAAGTAACCGTAATAAAAAAACATCAGTTACACATAGTATAGTAAGTTGGTGTCAAATATATAGATTTTTGCAAAAGTACGAAAATATCATACAGAACTGTCTAGAACAGATTATACTGAAAAGGATAAACATAAAGAGGGGAAATCCAAAAAAGTTCACCATAAAAACCGAAACAGTGAACAAATAACACAGTACTGGAAGTATTCGATTGATATACTGACGTATAATAGTTTTAACATATCGGAGTATAGGCATGCCTATTAATTAGAGAGAAGTGATGATTACGACTAGTGTCACTTTCAAATACGTTACCATTTAGGTACACTGAGTGTAGAAATTAAGCTTCCATAATTGAAATAAGCCCCATAGTCATTTTATGTGCATGAACAGAACGAAACATAAACAAGTTACTTAGTAAAGTTTGGCCTAGAATAATCAACCTCACTCATTAAATAAGTAATATTGTTTATAAAAAACCCCACTTTGCTACATTGTCAGCAGTGGTTTTATCGATATCAGATCGATAGTAATAGTTGTAGAAACAATTACCTTCAAGTTAGTCAATATAATCTGATCACCGTGTAATCTACCATTAAATGATCCCGAAAATTAAAGATTGTTCTGTTACCAAAAGAGAAAAATAGTTTGAGTAATAAGTAGTCTTTGTAAAAAAAGACGGAAAAACGCTCCATTGTGAAGAATACAAAAACATTAATGAAATTATTATAGGTAAAATACAAGAACATAATCGACAAATTATTGATGATTTTCAACCACCCAGTGGACCGTTTAAAAAATTGAAAATATGAAATACAACACTGAAAATATTTGCGAAACACCTAATAGCACTTGAAAACTATTTTACAATTATTGATTTATCTTTATTGGCAAAAAAAGTTTACAGATTACAAAGGGAAGCAGTGATCAGTACAGCACAATCAAGTCAGTTATGAAATAGTTATACATCACAGTCAAGAGATGGTGGAAAAATATCGTTAATTGGTTAAAGGTATATATATACATCATTCAATCGCAGCTCAGTATTCTAGAGGCTGTGTTCGCGCGTGATACTCAAGGTGTTGGGTACGATTCCTGAATGTGGTGTCGTGGATGAGCACTGTTGAGGAGTACCCTACTAGATTGAAACAATTATCCAATGCTTCTAGGTTTTCAATGGTGGTCTAACGTTGATCAGTCCATGATATAGAAAGCATGAAAATTACAAAAAGTTAAAAATGTTCAATAACCAACTAAGCGAAGAACAACGAAGTTTTCCTGACTGTAAAACACAATATGAAGAAACATTTCACGCACTTTCTAGGATATTCTTTGAGTTTATCCAAGACAGTTTTGGGTAAGTCGCCAACACAAGCACTTTGTATCAGTCAGTTAAATATAATGTAGAACGTGGCATATATGTGCGTCGACCCAGGTCGCTACATGACATTACCACAACAACATTACTAAGGCAAATCCAAAGAAGCAGAAGTATTGACAGTATCGTTAGTAGTGGAAAAGTTATGAAGAAATATGGGGTTCAGGATTTAAGAGAAAGCACAGTGTGAATGGATCTGCGCCACTGAGAACAATTCGTTGCCATGTCATCCAAAGTCTGTAACCATTGGTTAAGGTAATCACGCGGACTTAAACAGGTAATCTGACAGCACTCAATAAGAATATTTCAAATAAACAGTGACTTAGTGGTTAGGATGTTTGACTTTCAGACACGAAATCATACGTTTGAACCCTGCTACACCTACTTCAGTTTAGTGACTAGGAGTAGTACCACTAACTCACACACTTCTAGTATGACTGAGAGACAACCACATGAGTCTACAGCTGACGCGTTAACAGAAAAAGACATCTGCGTATGATCAAATTGAGATGACACAAAACAGTAAACATAATACACAGAGACAACAGTAGTTAAGCAGAACACGAATTCAAATGATGCGATCCAACAAACAAATGGCAGACACATATTTACAATTCATAATTAAGAGTGATATGGAACAATTTAAAAAGTTATCTGTTTATAGTAATCAATATGTATATTTTGTGAATTCAACTATACGACAATTACTGCTCGACTAACTAGTTTAGATTACAGTAAATTTCTGATCATTTATATGGAAAGTTATTCAACGCACAGTATTTAATTCACCGAAAACAATAACAAAAGAAGGATGATGCAATGAAGAATTGGAGAGCTAAATTAGTAGTACACAAAATTACCTCGTTAGTAAATTTAGATAACTTTAAAAGAGATTAAATTTGTTTCTCTGAAATTAGACAAAAGTTGCAGTAATATACTAGTTAAAAGCTTTTTTCTCTAAAGAATTACAAAGTATAAATGGCAACATTGCAATGGTTTTTCCGTAAAATATTTAGAATGTCAATATCAGTAGAGAGAAGATACAATGGAAACTTCTATGATATTATTACTATTATTAGTATCAGCCCCTACATTTTGTTTACTGCTTCAGATTATTTGAATCTCAATTACTGGATAAATAAGCGGAACGTGATTTTGACATTTATGAAAGACTTTACCACTAACATTATTTCCCATTTCACAATAAACGTAGCAGTTTACCTATTAAAAAAATTCAGGGACGTGTTACAACATCGAAATTTAAACCATTATAATTTTTATATAGGTTCGTGTCTATTTATTTATACAAACAATAGATTCTATTAAAAAATGTGTGAATTTGAAAATAAAAGTAAACAGGAAAACACCGTCAGTTTATATTAAATGTTAGGGTCCATCATCTTTACTGACGTAAATGTCGTGGGAAGCTTGGATAAGAATACTCGTGTAAGTTGGACTGACATAAATAAAACTAATTTAAAATTGATTATGGTTAAATATCAGCCTATTTTAGACCTATCAAAAGGATGCACGTGGATGTCAGTGCTGATGCCCAACATTGGAACTCCAACCTAGTGTAGTGAGCTTCAAGCACTCGACAACAGTAGAAATATAATCCTTACTCAAACATTATTTTAAATGATGTAGAATAGATGGAATGTAGCTGGTAGTGGAATACAGGACGCGCATTTCGTTTTATTTCAGGCTTGCCAGCCGGGTGTACTTGGATCCCAAAGTTATTGTTCACTCCGAAGCTTGAATTTGGTAGTGTTCGCTTCAAATGTTGTCGAGTGTTCGACTTAGCTACTGAGTCTAGAAAACCATTAATCTGTGAAATTAGGAATGGTTTAGATTATTCTGCTATCGATATTTTTACTGAAATTTGATTAGCCTTGCTAAGCCACATTTTATCTATTCAATGTTAACTTGTGTCATAATGGCTATATCGAAGCAATCCACACAAGATACACATATATGCCAACCAGAACTAATCAAATTTCAGTTAAAATATCCACAACAAAGTAATTTAAACCATTTAAAATTGATTGAGTTACTTAAAATGGTTTACAAAAAAAGGAAAGATTAACATTATCTAGAATATCATTGAACAGATTAGAAGTATATCTTGTATATAGATACATGATAAAGGCATTATTACTGGTCACTATTAACTAATCAGTACACACCTTGTAGAAAAATACACCAACACTAATACGCATTTAAAATGTCTTTTTTTATTAAAAAAAGAATTCAATATTAACAATCCACCAGTTAAACACATCAAAATAAAACAAAACTAAATATATAACACAAATGCACCGAAAAACATTTAGACTAGAACTATTGGATACAATAATAATGTTTACATTACAATTGAGCAAAATGATTTTATTTTGAAATTACGACTTGTTCTGTTTGTTTTAAATAGAAGAATGAATCAGTCAGTGGAAGTGGTGATGCTGATGTGAAAAATAGGCCAAATTATGATAACAGAATTAAAAATTACAATTGTAATCATTTATGTAATGATATTCATCATTAACTATTATTAAAATAAATATGCATGCATAGGTTCAATAGGCAGAATTCAAACAAACCTGTAACTCCGATACAGGAACATCCTGATAAATAAATGGATAATATTATTAATAAGAAATACTGATGAAAAACAATTTAGTGAATAGGTTCAATCGTAAGAAAACCAATGTAGGAAAGAACTAATACCAAAGAAATCATCAAGTAAACGAAACTGTGTGTAAGGGAATAAGGGAAAAAGAGGAAAGTTTTAAGTTAATGAAGGTGCGGTTATCACGGAATTGCGTACATTATCTTTTATTGATCACTGAGTAGTAAACAGTATCGTTTTTATTTAGTCCTTTAGTGTAGATCAAATTTTATCTGTGAAGATACAATGTCTAAGTGAGTAGACATTACTTACTTACTCCTATTACTCCTCATGATGAAGAATAGGCCGCCTCTCAATATTCTCAATTCAACGCTATCCTGGACAATCCCTTCCAGTTGCTAGTCATCCTTTTCATGTCTTCTTCCAATTCCAGACGTGGTGTTTTCTTCGGCCTTCCTCTTTTCCCTTTCCCTTCAGGATTCCAGATAAGCTCTTGCCTCATGATGCAGTTTAATGATTTCCTTAATGTGCGTCCTATCCACTTTCAACGTCTTTTCCTGATTTCCTCCTGAGCTGAAAGCTGATTTGTTCTCTCCTATTGTAGACTGTTGCTGATGGTGACCGGAAGACAAGCATTGAGTGTCTTGTGTAGACAACTGTTTATAAATATTTGTACTCTTTTGATGATGGTTGTGGTAGTTCTCCAAAATTCAGCTCCATACAGTAGAACTGTCTTGACGTTCGTATTGAAGATTCTGATTTTGGCTTGGAGACCGTTGTTTTGTGTTCGATATGTCGTTCAACTGTAGGAATAATGTCCTTGCTTTTACGATCGTCGCCTTCACGTCCATATCGGATCCTACTTGTTCCTCGATGATGCTTTCTAGGTACGTATAAGATTCCACATCTCCATCAAGCGTGATTGGGTTTGTGTTTTCTGTATTGTATTTAGGGATCTTGAGAGTAGACATAAAGTGTGATATTTTGAGATGTTAGCTGGTTGGTATTAGCTACCAAGGAGTACATGAAATCTGAAGGAAAATGATGCTCTCAGATAGATCCAAATTTGAGTCATTCAGCTATAAGGTCTGGGACGATACCAACTAAGTTATTACGGCCGAGACTGATTTTCTGTGAGATTTCAAGTCCTTCACCTATAACAACCTAAGAACTAATGCACTCGAATCTATTGTTCAACTGACAAATCAACGTTTGTCAAATCAGACAAATGTCTTTTATGTACATCACTTATCACGAATCGTTAAAGTCTCGAATTAAATGTATTGTACAGTTATATGAGTGAAGAATTTATCCAAATTTTGATTTATCACAATGAATCAATGTAAACTATAGCAACAACTGTAAAACAATTCACACTAGATTCTACTTTGTCAAATTCATTATTATCACAAATGATTTAATTTGTATTATTAATTTTCGTATAACAGTCGTATAACCAGTCATCAGTTATACATGAATCACAATTCAAAGTCGAATAATCCCGTAGTAAACAGGTAAATAATAGTTAGTAATACATAGAAAAACAATTATTGGCACAAAAAAGGTAGAAGGTCAGATATAGTCAAAAATAAACAAAAAAAATGTGAGGAATTGACAGATATCAGTGCTATAAGTCATAATAATATTGAGATTATAATTAACCTAAACACTGATGCATACATACAGATATAAGAATTTAGAATGATGTCAAATTGTAAGTTCATACTAATGAGAAATTTTATAAATTTACCATTTTTTTTTACAAAACCACCATTTTATATGATATTATACTGAATGATCACATCCAGTGATATTTCATTGAGTTTTAACTATTTTGTATTTCATCAAGTTAGTTGAATAACAATAGTTTATTTGACAATTTGAAATCATGAGCCAATTGAAGCTAGACCACCATGGAAAACCTGGAAGCACTGGACGGCCGTTTCGTCCTAGTATAGGACTCCTCGGCAGTGCGCATCCACGAAACCGCTGGATGCCGGCTCAGTGGTCTAATGGTTAAGTGCCCGCGCGCGAAGCCAGTAGGTCCTGGGTCCGAATCCCGCTGGGGGCGGGTTCGTGGGTGCGCACTGATGAGGAGTCCCATACTAGGACGAGACGGCCGTCCAGTGCTTTCAGGTTTTCCATGGTGGTCTAGCTTCAATTGGCTCATGATTTCAACTTGTGAAATTTCTAAAAATCTCCACAAAACCCATTCTGATAATAATAGTTTATTCGTTGACCAAAAAAGTAGATAGATAATACACAATTACTACAGTTTCGTTCACTTCTTTATATTTTAGAGCACAACTTTAAGTGTTTGAATTAATAGTTGTAGAAAATACTAACTTAAAATGTGAATTCCTTGATAGATTAGAAATGAAACTGTAATAGTATTGGATTTACAGAAAAAGCTACAGTGTACAAGAGTAATCGGCAGATATTATTTACAGATCATTAATGACTGCATGAAATGGACAACAAGATTTAATAATTATCATTAATAATAATAGAAGGAAGATTCAGTGAGAGCTCAAAACAACCGTGATGAACTTTTAGCCAGTCTTTATCTAATCGATCAGAAAACAGCTTTTGTAAATGAACAGTTTATGGAAAAATAATCAAATAAGGCAAACAGATTTCAGATAATAAATGAACTTATTAAAGTCTTCTACAGATTACTCTGACTGGATCGATAAAACAACGGAATAAATTCGTCTTTATGGATATAGATAATCGACTTTCGAGAACAACTGTGAGGATTAGAATAGATTTTTAAATGTTCGCATTGTCTCTTGTTAGGGTAAGGATTAGGGCTATAACGTAATAATGCTCTGTAGCCATATGGATGAATGGATTTTGCGAAAAAATCTAGGAGCCGTTGCCTGATGAGGTTGTTCATAAAATATAGTGCCAACAGAATAAAAGTTTCATGGTTAAGATGAGGTCTTGTCGACTTGCCTATTATGTACAGTTGACAAATAATTGAGAATTTCATATGTTGTACACTATCGTTTTCGCTTTGTGTTGGCGAAATAACCTTTTTCGCTATGAGGATTATGTACAGGTATTTCACCTACTCGTTAAGCACGCCATTTGAATTTTTTGCAAAAGCCTGAAGGTCGTACTCTATTTCGATAGACTCGTTTAGATACTTTACTCTCGTCAACGATATGGTAATGAAGATGGTTATATAATTAAATAAAGTATAGGACTACACTGTAATTGATAAACAACAAGTTAAACACCAAATGCTTACATCTTTTGGTCTTTTTGGAATATGGTTGATTGAAATTTGATTGATTGATGATAATGGCCCATTATCATCACCGGTTACAGAATTTAAACTTTGAAGGGCTTCAACACGACGTCGTGCTTCGTTGTCGACTATTGCATTCTGAAAAAGAAAGACACACAAAATATTTTGCAAGCTACTTAAAAAAGTGGCAGAGCTATGTCGTATAAGATCTGGAGGTCTATTTAGCGGCTAGACATTTTACTGATAAAAAAACTATTAGGAAGTACTCGGTGTAACAAAGCGTCAACAGTTATCACTAAAAAAAGTTGTCAACCAGGTCATTATGTCTTTGATGAAACAAATGAAGCACTAATAAAACACTATAGATGCCCGTTAATTCACACACACACAACACTAAAAATCGATAATTACAGTAAAATCTGTTTACAACTTTACCTTAAAAGTTTATGGCAAAATACACAGATTATTATGCGTACATACAAGTACAAATGACACGAATTAAATCAAAATTATTACGTCATGATAAGTGATGAACACATAGCTGATTCAATAGTCGTTTAATAAGTTTATATAAAGCTCTAATCTTTAAATACATATTACCAATGATCAGAATCATTATTGTATATAATAAATACAACAATACTACTAACAAGGAAATACATTAATAATAATAGTAATAATAATAATAACTCAATATGTTTACCTTGAAATTCTTAATAAATCGAACAATTAAACTGAAAAATTGTTCTGGACTAGGTTTAATTTGCGCTTCACCAAACCATTCAATTGTTCTAGCAAACATATTACGTGCAGTTTCTGCTTGCTTTTCAATAGATTCCACTTTAGATTTATTATTTAATACAAAATCTGATAAACGTTGTGGTGTTTTCAATGAACCAAAAATAATTGTCTCTTTATCAGCTTGTGACATACCAGAAACTAATGCTGCTACATCATTTGTTAAAGCTTCTGTTGGAACTGTACATAAAATAGAATTTTAAATAAGAATTATATTCAAATGGGAAAAAAGAAAGGGGGGAATTAACACAGATGTGATTATCTACCTTGATATGGATATAAAACTGCTAGAAATATTCAAATATTTAAATAACTAACAGAGAGATATGAATATCATACTGATTGAACAAGTAAGTAATTAGCTATGGGTTATATAATAGTATTTGAAATGACGAGTACAGGAATCAAGTTCTCATGTGAATAATAACACTAAGAACTATGTATATCCAACTGGCTTGTTCTGAATAGGATGAAATTACCATCTTGGATTCCGTTGCTAACCACAATCTTACTTTAATAAAAACTGATTGATAGTACTTTAAACTATTTGTGTACGACAATTATGCTTTGACACATGATAATACCTAGGAAGTGTTTAAGGTAATTTGTGTAAATATTTGACTACAAACAGTTTCGGTTGTTTTACAATACAAGCTGAATAAAAAATGAAAGCTTTGAATTCAAAGCAATTTGGATAGAAGGAAGTTTTAACTAAATATCATAAAATGATGTTACGAGGCTTACAATAATTTTATAACACATAGTTTTGATTATTTAACATTGACCATTTTACAATTTGAAGAAAGTAGTTTTTTTGTCTTTGGTTCGTTGCATCACAATAACAAATGAACACCGCACAGAAAACTCATTAAACTAAGTAATTAATACAAAAATATATTTCTAGATCAGTAATGCTAAAAGTAATCTGATTATCGATGGTAATGGAGAAAATATGTTTTATTATGCATATATAATATATGACACATTTAATGAACATCTGTTCGAATACATTAGGTGTTTCATGTGTACATCTTTATATATTATATATAAATGGTAAGTGGGAACTAAAGTCGAAGTATAGATCAAAATAGTCAATGCCAATTCTAAGAATAATAACAAGATATAATACTTTCTTCAATTAAGTGAAAATGTAAATTTTAGGTTGAAAATAAAAACTATGTGTTTAGGAAATATTCAAGATAAGCTATTGAATGTTGACAGTATGAGCTGAACACATACTTGTCTACATTAAACTGGAAGACTAACCAAAGGAATATATTTCAAATAAATTAAGTAACTATAGAATATAGCTGACACAGAAGTAGTAAATATATTCAATAAATTATACTTTGAGATAAAGTGTTAAGCGAGAATTGAAATGAAAAACACTCATCGCAAATAAATTAATTGAAAACAAGGTTTATAATGTACAAAGTTATCGATCAAATCTTTATATAAATGCGATAACATATAATCTTCACAGAACGACCCCATGATTCAGTAAATACGCAATTCAGCAGCCTTATATACACGCAGAATAAGTGGCTCTCAGTGACATTATTAACTGATATTAATAAGTATAAAAGTAAAAATATGGTATTAGGATGCAGACTGCGCATAACTCAATGAATCCATAGTTGAATGATCATAGTACTATAATATTTGTCGATTTGATTACAGTATGAAGAGCACTTATCAGATATCACATATGAGATATAGAGTAGTGCATAGTAGGTGGTAAATTATAGTATTTTAAATAGAAGTAACAATATGATGTAATGGAAATCTTTCAAGAGTCTAAAAACACAATAGCTATAAAATACAACAACGAAAAAATAAAACGAACAAAAAAATGTTATAAATACCCACAGGGTGACTAAACTTTACTATTAATAATAAAATAATGGTATATTTGTAATATACTAAAAAGTGGGAATTAAAAGGCTTGACATTTAGTGATTTAGTGTAAGGCACTTTTGCAGAGTACTTCGGAAAGTTAGGAATATAACAAATATACCATTATTTCATGATTAACATTCTATCCAATTCTCAAATTATGTTTAACCATGGTAAAAATACTTATAAATTCTACAGAATTATATAAGTTAAGGTGAAACTAGATATAAGCAACTGTTTCCAAGCTCAGTTAATTCGATAAAGAAGATGCTGATGTAAAGAATTATAAAGTATAAGTATACAGTATTTAAAAAGCTTTCGTAAACGTTGTACAAGCTAACTAACTCTCTCAAACTGTTTATATTGACTGATGACAGAACAGTGACCCATGTTATTTTGTTTAACTTATATTGATCAAGTTGCAATTTGGCCAGTAGTATCTGTGACCCGACTACGGGTGAACTATGTTGAAATGGTAGATGGTTGGAGGTAATCGAAAGGAAACTATGGACCTAGGTCTTTTTGCTAGTTGATTACTCGTCTAAACTATCCGCTTTTAACAAGAACGACGTTAAAATTGGGAAATGTAGTGAGTGGGATAGAGTAAGCATATGTAAAAAATGAGAACAGTCTAAAATAAATAACAGAGAGCGACTATAAAGAAGAATTTAAAAAGCGGGAAATAATGATGTCAATAACGATAAGACTGTAAATATTCAGTGTCACTTAAATCAACCTTCCTTTAAGTGATTTCATCAAATTATTAATTTTCAGTCTTGTAAATACAAAACAGTCATGGTGACGTTAGTAACAAATGATGGATTTGGAATTTATTATGAATACTTAATATGATGTACAAGTAAAGATTGACAGACCACAATGTGATGATTTTAGTTAAAATGAAAGAATCTCTAGTTTACTGTGCTATATAAAATACAACTAACCCTTTGCAGCTTCTACAACACCAGTCAATTCATCGTCAAAATTAACTAGGGCAGGAAATTGGGTTTCAATTGTTTCAACTATGAAGTGAAGCAGAGTCCACGATTTATCCAAAGTCCGTGTGTCGGATAACTGAAAAAAGATAAGTTGGAAACTAAAGAAAATGAAGATTACATACCTATACACATATACGTTAGGTTTGACGTTGCAAATCGTCGAATACATTTTCATCGCGATTTGATATTAGCTAAATATTAAAAAACCCTACACCACAAACCGTATAGTATTCTTTTCTAGTCACACACGGAGAGTGTCGTCAGTCAGTCAGCTACAGCGTAGGACCAGGCACATATGAGCATTGGTCCAAGTTGCCATACTTCATTAGCACAACAAGATGAACACCGAATTCATAGAAGTAGTTAATAAAATGGTGGTAATATATAAAAGAAAGATTGCATATAAGGGCATAGTTATACAAACTTATTGTATAAAGCACTAATCAAAACGATTTACTGTCAAGCTATAACTGTTTAGTTCGAAGAAAATTGACCGAAATGTAATGAGCTCATATTCTTTTGCAGAGTGTTTACAACCAAAAACGAAAACAACTCAAAGTGCATATGTAAAAAAGCAAGCCGAAAGTAAAGTGTAAATTTGATACTTAGTAAAATAAACATGATGAATATCGATTTAACTAAAAAGAAGTACAATAACCAATAGAAGTGAACTTTTCAACGAATAGCTTCAAAAGTGTGGGTATTTATAAGAGTGAAGTGAAAAATACAGGAAATCATGAAGGAAACTTTCGTAAAATGACTAGGATGTGATTTATTATAATTTATCCATAATTATACTTATCCATTAGATAGTTGGTGTGATCTTAATATTGAGAGCTCTTGATCTTCTCGTTTGGACGTTTTAAAATTTACTTTTTTGGAAAATTAACAACGAACACAGCCGTTTTCCTAACCAAATTACTAATCACATCATCACTGTAACACTGGCTATATTTTGTATACAAACGTTTTTTTGTATACAAACACTTTTTAGTGATCTTCAACTTCCCATTTATTTCGTTGTATAAAAAGGACTTGAAATTCAGTAGAGGGGATTAATTCAAATTAACGTATTGCGTCATAGAAACATCCTTTGAACTGCTCTATCATCTCTCTGAAAATATATATGATACATGAATATACCACTCTGTGAAAACGTAGTTTTTTGACACGTCTCTGATGTGATTTATGATGATTTCAGAGATGAAGTGTCCTTCACATCATTATTTTAATATAAGAAAAATCAGAGTTGTTAATTCAACCTCAAAGTAATTTTATATTCTTGAAAAATAAGTACAACGATTTTCAATTTTTCAAATAGAACTGAACTATCGGTCTAGATTACTTGTCGAAACAATTACAAACACTGATACATTGTGAGAGATTTTATTGACTGAGTTTTTTATCATTTCCTTCATGGGTCAAAATAATTCCACGTCAGTTTTTCGTCAACCTACATGGTACGCATAACGACTGTTATTACGCTGAGAACCTATGTAGCCAAAGTAAAACTTCAAATTTGATGTAATACATGAACAAACGTCTTTACTGAGACGATAGAGAATAGAGCTCAATGTTTTAATCTATTTTCTGTATTACACATCACCGAACAAATCTAATAGAAGGCAAGATGAAGGATTATCAATTTTCTAGCGTTCTCTGCGACGTTTAGTGAGTCTGTTTTATCTTGAGAGGTATCACATATATGTGCTTCTAGAGCGAGCTATATTAATCATAAAATATTACTGAATCTCTTACACCTGATTATATATATAATGCAAGACAATCATGCAGTATATTTAATATGTACACTACTAAGACATTTGTGGTACAAATCCGAGTCACACGTTAATAACTTAACAACCGTAGTTTATGAACGATAAAAGATGTAGCAACACTTAATCAGTCGATTGAAGGCTTACAACTACGAGAATGTAAAAATACTATCCACCAATTATTTCATAAAAATACTTAATAAAAATCTTTATATTTATACATATATAGGTTACTAAGAGAATAGCTTTAAAAGTTTCACAATTTCAATTACTCGTTTAATCTTCTTTGAACAAGAAAGTGCATTCGATGGCTAGACAGATATACAACACTTACCGTTCCTAATTATTGATGAACCGATCAAGAAAATCCCTAATAGGCATTTACTTTATGCCTTTCAAAGCTAACGTTTATATCAATAATACAGAAACAATAACCATATTTATAGTTCGTATTGTTACAAAATGAAAACAGAGAATTTACAACTTGCCAAATTAATAAGTAGCTTAAGTTAATACAAAAAACAAGACGATTCATATGAACAATTTACGAAAGTAGTCAGTATTCAATAGTTATGGTGTAGGTAGAAAGATGATGATTGACTATGTTTAGCGTATTCTGTGTTTAATTAAATGAGAAGCTTAGGAGTAATGATTCCTAACTTAGTTTACATGAATCTAGAGTAAATCTCTATAGTTCGGTCTACGAATTGATAACTGACGACCAATAATTTTTTTTTAATTATTGATGTGTAACCAGTAATACAAAAAAGGAATTCACTAGAATCATGTCAAAAAAACAAATAGGAACTGATAACCAAGAAAATGAAAGACAAAGTTATCCCACTATGTGAAAAACGACCAACGTTGAACAGGTCTAGGTAAAATAAATTAGCTATTTATGATCAACGCATATTGTAACACAAATAAGAGGTGGGTCAAGATGTCACACCATATTTTAATAAATGAAGTTAACAAAGAAATTGAATCATATGGTAGCAATGATTATGACAAAATTTAAACATTGATGTGGTGAGAATAGAAAGGTTGAATGTATCTGTGCCATTATAAACGATTATAAATCATATCAACCAACATCACCAACCACTGATCTTAGCTGTTGCCCAAACTCCAATATAGCCTAGACAAACAACAGTCGACAATTTCCCAAATAATTGAGACAAAAAAGCAACATAGTTAAACAAAATAGGTGGAAAAAAAGAAAGGGAAACTTACAGCATCTAAACTCTGTAAACGAAAACCGTAGGCAATACCACGTCTGGAACTATTCATATAATTGCCAAAAGCTAATATAATTTCTAAGATAGCTCTAAATTTACAACTGTTTTTCAGTGCTAACGAAGCGGATCTTACAGCAATAATTTTCTGATAAAATAATGAAAATGAAACAGAACAAATAATTCAGCGTATATATATACATATATATATGTATGAGAGAGGGTAAGTATGATATAAGTAGAGTAGAAAGGTAGATAACAAAAAATTATGGCGTGTTGAACTCTTTTTACTATTCGGTCGTATACTCATGAAATCGACTCAATTTTTCAGACAAAACTAAAATCTGTTCATCTATATTTATTATGTAGATGATTATTGAAATCCAATACGGTGAGTCATATTTTAATGATAATCTTTTAAAAGGGAATAAAGTCAGGCAATGTGAACATTTTTTAGAGCAAAAAAGTACAAGACTATAGGTAAAATTTGTCGACAAGATATAAAATGATATTTATGAAATAAAGACGGGAGCGACCGAAATTGTGAAATCATCCTTTGAAAATAGGTACTGAACATTTTAGTTTAACTTCATTGTCTCTCGTGGATAAAATACATTACACAAAAGCGTGAGATAATTTGAAGGATTCTTAGTTAAGATACTTTCGAAATAAAAACTAACCTTCTAAACAAATGGACAGGCTCCAGTTCTTCTTCTTACAACTAAACTAAACCCTTTAAGTTTCGTTCAACAAAAGTATCACCAATTAGTCTCATATGGCGAAAATAAAGAACAATTGGAGCCTTAATGATTAAACTAGATACATGCAGCATATATCAGCAAGAATTTTAGATCCAGACTAGGACCTGATAGTGAACATATAAATTATAAATTGCAATTTCGAAACAACAGACGCTGAATCAACCTGTTACATTTACCAGTAGCCATAGAGATTTTTAAACACTGAATCACACATATTGCGGAATGTGAGCGATTTCATTCACATCAGAAAGTTTCAGTAGTTGGAATGCTGCAACATTCCACCATATACCATTTGCATCATAAAATAATCGTTGAGTTTCTTGACATTACAGTTGGTTTATATTCGCTGAAAATAATTGTAGCTTACAGCTATGTATACCAAATGAGCTAACTCCGACAAATTTGTTGATATTTTTCGAGCCAAGCATTTAAGTACATAAAATGAAGTACATCTAAACAACTATCACATAATATTACGAAATTAGAAATAGAGTTTAAGGGGATTTTTATTGAATCACATTAGCTCCATGAGAAAAGTTAGACACCAAATAAATTATGACAAACGAATAAACATAAATTACTGAAAATCAATTTGATCCGTGAACATATAGTATACGGTTTAGTTGAAAATGATTATGCAATCGTAATCAATGATCATAAATAAATACACAAAACAAGTACACGTTTTTACTAAACATACACTGATGAATGTGACAAAGTGCACAGAATACAATAACGTAATAAAAAAATTGTCTACAATGTAAGGGTTAGTTTAAGGAGTGTGACTTGACGAATAATTTATAATCATACATTTCATTATTAAGACGAACACTCTTACACAACTAAATCCTACCATTTAATTATTTGAAATCAAGGTCACAATATTTAAAATTATTACCTTTATAACATGATCCATACTGAGCATGAAAATAAATCTCACAAGCCATATGACTATTAGCAGCCATATAGCAATCTAGTTTTATGTAAACCTAATGATTGTTTCTTCACTGTGCACAACTAGAAGTGGGCGTAAATACATGGTCTGATCAGTTGCGTAGAAATAATTTCAACTTCAGTAGAATACAATACACATGTTCGTGATTAGAATAAATATAATTTGATTAGACTTTATGTCATCACTTTATGCAACAACAATTAAATCGGTATTATCAAGGTCAAGACACATTTCTCTGGATGATATATATATATCGGCGGTCAAATAATAAAAAATGGATTCAGACAAATTTTTGTTATATCAATAAACTCTCCAATTCATATAAACACAGTGATGAAACCGTGGTCACGTTGAATTCATTACTTTTAAAATTATTGCTTTAGATATTAGATATATTTTTGTGGCTTGACATAGTACTAGACATTACAATATCGTAGCTAAAGACATAAATTGCTTACCGAATTCACTACATTCAAATTATCTTCAAATGAATTCATGAATAAAATAATTTCTAATCTAGGTCCTAAACGTTCAACTTTGCATAAATGTAGTAAAAGACGATCTTCATCCGTTAAATCATCAATAGATCGTTGTTCAGTGAATTCATAATTTAAATAAGTTTTCACTTCATCAGCTGTTGGCAATTGATGATATATACGATCTGTTACATCTTGACCTAGTTCTAAACGATTAATATCATTCCATAAACGTTCTGGTGTATATTTTTCAGATTCCAAATAACGTAATAAAACGCCAATACAACTGAAATGGAACAAAAAAGCGGAGATAAACATGAGTAGTGTTATTAGCATAATTGAAGTGAGAATTGCTTAAAAAAACTGATTAACTTGGTAGTCGATTCAACTTAGTGACCTAGCATACATATCGTTTTACACACCTGAATATTGTGAAATGTGTTACACAAAATGTACCACTGTACGGCAATATCACATATTTCTTAATGAGAAAAAAATGTATGAAAGAGATTTCATTAAGTCTAAATGTTGGTGTATTTTAAGAAAAAAGAAACACTACCGATCAATATATGACACGATTTTTACTGATGATTGTGTGTAAACATAAAGCATAATTTACTAACATATCAATGTTCAACGTCCTAACGAAAAAGCACTGAGTTGACTATTTATATTATTGAGACAAAATTCAGCAGATATTTTTTTCGTAATCATTAGTTTATGACATATGTTAACGTCGAATAGACAATTAAGATGCAATGATGCAAATAGTGACATAAACTAGTATCAGCTTTCATATTTACTATGACTGAGCCAACAAGAGAAGAAAATAAACGCTTGGTGTAATAACTTTATATTACACAGAAATATAGGAACTTTCATATCAAAAAGCTATTGATTACTGATAAAGAGAAATTCACGTTATACTAAACCTTAGATAATAAACATTATCTCCATGGCTTATTATAAAAAACCTTAGTTACGAGAACGATTAGACAGCTAAACTTTTCAAACAGCAGTTTGAATTACAAAAGTTTTAGTACAAAATAAGAAATCGATATTAATTACCTAACATTTCAATGATAAATGGAAATATACCACAAATAATTATAGGAGTTTCAGTGTACATTATGGAACAGAGTATAATGCATACCAATATATGCGATCCTAAGTCACTGAGACTGTCTGTTGTATACTGTATATAAGCCTCGAATACGTGAATTTACAATTACGACGAAAGTAGGATGGAAGTAGTTGTCAATGGCAACAGATTCATGAATCCAGCTAAATTTGTCTGGTTTTCAATTGTTTCCATATAAACATTTAGTAACAAATGACACACTATCAACAAGTAACATGTTTATTGTTGATGAAGAAGATAGCCCCAAGTACCAAATATTTTCAATCATCAATAAAATCGTTTAGTTTTACAGAATAAAGAGAAAGAGTTTTCGTATAAAACTTTATACTGGTAATATACGTACAAACATAATAACAGTCAACTGCCAAGTCAGAATTACATAATTCTTTTTTTTAAAACTTTAACGTATTAATAAAACAGCACAACCACTACTTATTTTCTTCAATAGGCAACTATTTCGCTATCGATTTAGTTAACTTTACGGATAAGTCCTCCCACTGGGGTTGAGAGATACTCATTGGAAAATGAATCAATAAGTGGTGATCGAATACTAATCAACTAAATGATTGATAGAAATTTGTGTAGTTCTGAGAAAATTTCGGCATCAATCAGCATTATTTCGACAATGTCAACCTGTACAAGAAATATTACGAGAGATTCAGTGTTCAGACCAGTTACGGGAACGAATGAAATCATCAGAGAAGCATTTGAAAACTTAGAACAACTATTTCATTTTGAAAGATCTTGACAGTCAAATCCTCAATCATATTCTAAGATTAAACATCAGTAATAACAGATTCACATTTTAATCTAATGTAGGAAACGTTGAGTACGAAACTGTTAAAATCACATAGTTCCAGAACCAGTTATCCAATAATTAGATAACTTATGATATATTAGTTTATAAATTGTAAAACCGAAATGAAATACATTTTATTTACGATACATTAAGCTAGTAATGCACAATGGTATTCAATAAACATAGATAATAGGAACATTTTTTTCAAAAGTTTTTTGACTTGATTAACCAGTTGTAACTTTATTTGATACAATTTCACTAAACCATAGAAAATATTTATTACGGTCAAATAATGGATCGTACAACTATTATTAATAATTTATTATGTATATATCCTGTTTGTAATATTAATGCATTTGATACTTAAATTTTAGTATCATGATGTACAAATATACGAGTAAACAATAATAATAATAATAATAATAATAATAATAATAATAATAATAATAATAATAATAATAATAATAATAATAATAATAATAATAGATCGATGGCGTACTATTTATCTAAAATATTATACCAGAATAATGTCCTTTTAATAAATAGGCAAATATTTACTAATTATATATATTGTATATACTTAGACCGATTGTTTACGTACATAAAGTAGTATGCGTTAATATCCCGATCGAAGCTGCTACCTTGACGCGGTGGTCGGGCTTGCCTATCGTGATGACCCAACCGAGCTATATTGGCTGGGACATATGTTCCTGCAGGTTCTACCATGCCAGGCAGGTCGATTGGCGAACGGTAAGACTAAAAGCAGCAACTCAAGGTCTGAGGGCGAAGTCGTACTGCTGACTGTAGAGAGGTGTGACAGTAGTAAGGTGTTTCCCTCGGACAACCAGCATGACAGCGATGCTGCCTTCCCACAAGGAAGGGTGGGGTTAGAAAAGGTCGACCCTAAAAATGTACACGGATTTCCGTCTCCGGCGGTAAGGCCCTTTGAAGAACGGAGCTAACACGTCAAAAACCTTCCACAAAAATGCCGTGCGCGGCCGGCCTCAAGCAGTTGTCCCTTGGGCTCTGCGGTCACACTCCCAGGTCGTCAAGACCAACACTAATCCAATTTCCTTTTCAGGTTCCTCAAGAAATACCCTTCCACGATGTGGGCAGCCGGGAAGTGATATCAGCCCTTACACCCGTAACAGCACACGAGACTAAGTTGGTCACATTCAAATCCTTCCTACACCTAATACCTCTCTTATCTCCATGACCAACCCTCCTCATGTCTCTTTATCACCTCGCATCGCTAGGGCAAACGATTCGGGTACGCGGAACGTTATTCCTGGTCTCCTGAAACCACGCTCTAAACTACACGTAAGAGCTTTTAACGTCCGAACACTGTGCCAAATAGGACAGCAGGCTTCCTTAGCTAAGACTTTAGAATCCCGCGCCATCGATGTACGCTGCGTCTCCGAAACGCGCATACAGGATCCGAGTAGCGTCATTCATTTGACCTCACCATGCCAAAATAAAGAACCGACTCGATTTACGCTTCGTATATCTGGAAGCCCAGATTCTGCTTCCCGTGGCCTCGCCGGCGTAGGTATAGCATTGAGTCCTAGGGCAGAACTAGCTCTCTTAGAGTGGATCCCAGTAGACAGTCGTTTGTGCGCTGTCCGACTGAACGGAACAGTAAGAATCCGGAAAGATAGGGACACCCGTCGTTGCCTCTTCGTCGTCTCTGCCTATTCTCCCACTGACTGCAGCTCAGATGATGTAAAAGATTAGTTTTACAGAAAGCTTTCGGACCTTCTCCGAAAAGCTAAGCCCTCGGATGTAGTAATAGTGGCCGGTGACTTTAATGCTCAAGTAGGTAAACTAAGCGATAAGGAAAGACACCTAGGTGGATCCTATGGTGTCGTGGCTCAAAGAACAGATAATGGCGACCGTCTGTTGCAGCTATGCTCAGATAACCGCCTGTTCCCTGCAAATACTAACTTTAAGCATAAGGAAAAACATCGTTTAACGTGGCGACCCCCTAATTCGTCCCAACGTTGGACCCAAATAGATCACATCGCTATCAGCCACCGATGGAGGGGCTCGATAGAAGACTGTCGCTCATTCTGGAGCACATGCCTAGATTCAGATCATGCTCTAGTGCGAGCGCGTATTTGCTTGCGTCTTACTGGACGTAGGAAAGACGCTGGAAGGAAACCTCTTAGGGCCCTACTTAATGATAGTCAAGCTAAGAGTATATTTCAGGAACAGCTAGGAAAACATTTAGGCAGCCATGTATGTGATGCCCACCCCGATGCAGCATGGAATGATATCCGAAAAGCTGTGGAAACAGCAGTGATATCTGCTAGTAAGGTAAACCAGAAGGTTAGGGAGCAACACTGGATCTCAGCAGCATCTATCTCACTGATAAATGCTCGGAAACACATTCCACCTGGCTCTGAACATAATGAAGAGCGGAGTCAGCTTAAGCGCAAGCTGACAAGAAGTCTACGCAATGATCGCGAACAGTGGTGGGTAGCGAAAGCAAGAGAGATGGAAAAGGCAGCGGTAATAGGTAATAGCAGACAATTGTTCAGACTCGTTAAGGAAACCGGAATTAGGAACCCGACCGTTAGCGAAACAATCTCAGAGAAAGATGGACATATTATTCATTCTCAATCCAGGAAATTGGATCGATGGGCAGAACACTTTAGGGATCAGTTCAACTGGCCTTCAGCCACACTTCGGTTTCCCACGATCTCCAGTCAACCTGAATGGCAAGTTAATGTAAGTCCTCCGTCCCTTTACGAAGTTGAAAAAGCCATAGGAAATCTGAAACGAGGGAGAGCAGCAGGCCCTGACAGGTTTACTCCTGAGAGTTTTAAGGATGGTGGTCCAGTATTAGCAATGAGATTAACTGAGGTCTTAGGTAGAATTTGGGAACTGGACGTAATCCCATATGACTGGTCTCAATCACTGATTGTGCCAGTCTATAAGAAAGGACAAAAGTCCTCTTGTGACAATCACAGAGGAATCAGTTTGACTAATATAGTGTCTAAAATATTAGCTTCAATAATACTTTGACGCCTAACTAAAGCTCGTGAAGAGCAGATTAGAGAAAACCAGGCTGGTTTTCGACCTGGACGTGGTTGTATAGATCAGATATTCACACTACGTCAGGTTCTAGAACACAGACACACATTCAGACGCCTCACAATGGTAGTATTTCTCGACCTTAAGGCGGCATTCGACTCTGTTGATCGTGAGGTTCTATGGCAGTGTTTGTCACTGAAAGGAGTACCAAAGAAGTACATTAACCTTATAAAGGCTCTCTACTCGAACACAACTGGTAGAGTGAGAGCTTATGGCGAACTGTCATCAGAATTGATCACCTCAAGTGGTGTGCGTCAGGGCTGTCCACTCTCCCCATTCTTGTTCAACTTTGTCATTGACGTACTTTTAGAGATAACACTCTCCTCATCTAAATATACAGGGGTTGAACTTCTACCAGGAGGTTCACTTGTTGACTTAGAATATGCTGATGACATAGTTTTATTTGGTGAAGACGCTGACAAAATGCAGAGTCTTCTGGCCACTCTAAGCAACAATGCAAGCATGTTCGGGATGCTATTCTCTCCCTCGAAATGCAAAATGTTGCTTCAGGATTGGGTTACATCGACACCCGAACTAGTGATAGGGAGTGAAGTAGTTGAGTGTGTCGACCGCTTCACTTATCTTGGAAGTCTCATCAGCCCTTGTGGTCTGATGTGTGATGAAATCTCAGCACGGATACAGAAGGCTCGACTAGCTTTTGCCAACTTGCGTCATTTATGGCGTAGGCGAGATATCCGTCTATCAACCAAAGGACGTGTTTACTGCGCAGCAGTTCGTTCCGACCTACTTTATGGCAGTGAAACATGGCCGGTAAGAGTAGAGGATATCCGTAGGTTACTAGTATTTGATCATAGGTGTCTTCGAAACATTGCTCATATATCATGGGACCATCGAGTAAGTAACACAGTTGTTAGGAAACGGGTATTAGGTAAGGATGGCAAATCAATTGATGAAGTAGTGAAACTTCATCAGTTGAGATGGCTGGGACACGTGTTACGTATGCCCAACGACCGACTGCCTCGACGTGCGATGTTCAGTAGTATAGGAGTAGGTTGGAAGAAAGCTAGGGGCGGCCAAAACAAAACATGGCACAAGTCCATGAAGTCACTGACAAGTGAACTGAGTCATGTTGGTAGGTATAGACTACCTGGTTGGGGACCGCGAGATGATAGCAACCGATGGTTAGAGACCCTGAATGACATGACTCAAAATCGTTTGCAATGGCGCAGGTGCATCCACTCTCTGTGTTCTCCCAAATTCTAATCTTCTGAATTCTTCATGTCCCTTTTTTCCTCTTTCCGAATTTATTTCACTGGATTATACTCTTTAAATAACATCTCCAAACCCTAATCTTCCTGATTACTGCTTATACTCTTATTACCTCTACCACTACGGGATTTGAATCGACAAGTGCATCTCTGTACTAATGTGGTGTGGCAACTCGAACTGATGTACGTACGTACGAAGTTCTACGTTGTTACTGACTGACTGACTGATGCGTTAATATCAATTGTGAATAAATTAATAAAATCTAAATTGGAAACTTTTAACACGTTTTTCTTCCATAAATTTGGAGATCTGGTTTTCGTAGTAAGGCTTATATCGTAAATATCTCATAAATTTGTAACAGTTAGTCAGTCAGTATTAAGCAAAGCAAAACCTGGAACATAAGTGCATTGATTTGACTCGACAGACCATATCAGTACAGCGAGATGAAACTATCAAGACAAATGTTGGATCAGTAAAAATAACGACAGTAGCAGTAATAACATAAAATTTTAGATATAGATTAATATAACCCGAGGAGTAATTAGGCCGTGAGACAAATAATTTTAGACCTCAAGATGTAACGGAAGATAAAACATGTATGTATCTGCCTTAATGAGACCGATTCTGAGCCATGCCATTCACGGCCTGCAACCATCGGCTACACCGATCATGCGGACACCAACAAGGTAGTCTGCATCTATCCTACACGGCTTGGTTACAATAATGTTTTCATGAAATGCTCTCACATGTTTACCAGTTAGTTGCCCTCCTACTTGGTGTAGATTTTAAGAAATAAAAAGACTATGAATGAATGCAAATTTATACATCAAAGTTTTTAGATTATTACAAAATAATCTAGACCGATAAGCCATGGGAAATCAAAGTGAACTGAATAACCATTTAATAATATACATATGAATCCACCTGTAGCTTTTCTAGGGTTATTGTCGGCCTGGAAATTGGTTAAAAGACGGGAGTTGGGAATGTGGTCACAAACCTTATCCCGTACAAAACAACCTTGTTAAAAAATACTAACCAGAATAAACAACTTAAACCATTTAAACTCTCATCTGGGACTAGGAAGATCTACTTTCGGAAGAACTATAAAGCCCCATAGTGAAAGCCGAGATTCTTCGGAAATCACGAGGCCGATGCCCCTTCTAACAACCAGAGCAACCATCAATATAGGTATATGGAGTGCTCGGACAATGTGGGAGCCTGAAAGGACCAGTCAAATAGCTACAGGAATGAGGAGATACGACTTGACGATGCTCGGAACAATGATAGCAACAACGACAATAAATATTAGTTCTACGAGAGACTGCAATCAATTATAGTAAAGTGCTTAGGAAAAGATCTGACCATCCTGATCGGACACTTAAACGCCAATGTCGGAATAGATAACACCAGGTATGAAGATATCATGGGACAATATGGACTAACTGGAAGAAACGAACGAGAATGGTGACAGACTTGCAAATTGATGTGCATTCAACAAAATGGTTATAATCGGCATGATATTTCCCCAACAAACGCATAAACAAAGCTACACGGCATTGTACATTTAATTTTTAGTTCCACTATACGTAAAAAATTCGAACATAAGGTTAATGAATGGCTTTTTACAACATCTTCACAGGTGAAACAACCACCTTTATATCTCTAGGAAACAATCTAAAGTTACAAAAATGAGCAGAACATTTATTGTTCACCTAATAATTTTCAATAATGTAGTAAAGAAAAAGACGAGTCCCTAACAACATTAGTATGAGGGCTGAATGACATTAATTAATATTAACAGAAGCCCATGATTATAAAAAATGTTTCCATTGTATTCCAAAACATAGTTAACAGAGTAATTATTACATAGTTTACATAGCGGACTGGTTCTTAGTCAGACAGACATTGAAAACCAGAAAGTGTTGAACAACTGGGGCTTCATAGCAATCCGTATTCATGACAACACCAGGGATCGAACCTAGGATCCACAGGTCCTGAAGAAAGCACTTAGCCGTTAAACTATTGAGCTGGCAACCAATGTGTTACAGGTTTGACTCCCATCAATCCGCGACAAAATGGAACCATCTTCCAATGTCATTAGTGGATAAGTGTGACGCACGTGACATAAGTGACAGCTATATAGATTTAATAATAGTAATAATAATAATAATAAGGCTACTTAATGAACAATTAAAACAGGGGAACCACAAAAAATACGTACCGATGTCTATTTGAATCCATTAAAGATTTTTTCTCAACTTTTTTACTTATTCGACTGTCTTTCTGATCTAATCCATTTACCAGATTATTTACACCCGATTTATTACTGTTATTCACTGATTGATTAGACAATTTGAAAAGATTTTCAAATCTTTCAGTATCCAATGCATCCAAAACAGCTTCATCATTCATGCCAACAAATATTGTACCACGAAGTTGTTGATTTTTCAACAGGACCCAATTAACTAATGGTAATTTGTATCGAGTTTGTATGGGCGGTCGTATGGAAACACCTATATTCAATATGAAAGAATAAATGAAGAAATAGAAAATGATGAAAGACTAAAAGAAACACATGTGCCATATATTTTAAACACGATATAACTCATTAGTTATTAAAATGAAAAATAACTAACTTGATTACAGATTGATTACTCCTACTTTTATGCTTTATCATCCACTTATACCAACAAATAAGCAGCGCAATCACTCGTCATTTATTTGATAGTGTATAATCGTCGGCATTTTAAGATCGTATAAACAACTTGAGAAACATTTAATTTTGCCGAGGCCATTGTTACTAAAAGGTTCAAATTGAATTTATGCACTCAAAAGGATGATGCTATCATTCTTGCACTGTTCTGACGACTTCAGTTTCTGAAAATTCGTTCCGCGAAACTTTATTTTGTGATGACAATTACAAATTTGATTTCTTTGTTCTTTCGTAGATTCTGTCTGAGCTCCAACTATTTCAGTCCTATAAAAACCCTTTTATTTAGTTGACGTTACGTACCTTTTATCATTAGGCTTTTAACAACATGTATCCTTGAGTTTTTTTTCACGAATATTCACACTTTCCAACATATAGATATCCGAACATAAAAGCATATTTTATAATTTTTTCTAAATCTAACAACGTTTACTGATAACAATACTTTCTGGTGGGTTTTGGAGGATCCACATAGGAGAGTTGGGAAACCCTGATTCAAAACCAATGGTGCGCATGGGTTCCAGAATGCTGGGGGAACAAATGACGCGTGAACAGATTGTTGGTCACTGGCTACCATGGGACTGCATCTCCCAAAGTTGCACTATAACCTTTGTAGGTTAGACCTTTAGGTCAAAAGCTCGTGATGTGGTCCCCAAAGAAAACCACCTGCTCCGGTTTTGGAGCCCAGGTAATATTGCAGCCGTCATACAAATCGAATGACGAAGTGTGGCGCATATATATTTGATGCCTCCTTGAACCAATGTTTGCGTTTACATAAATAATTAAGAATACATTTCTGATATTATGGTAAAAAGTATGTACACAGTTTTGTTTTACAAAAAAAATGAGTACTATTATTTTTACGTTGTAAACTTGCATATATGTGCCTGGTCCTACGTTATAGCTGACTAACAGACGTAAATAGCTGAAGTGACACCGCAAAAGTGAATTCATATTATTAAGCCAAGTTCATTGCTTTTGCTTGATACAAATTTGAATCACGATCTGGTTTTAGCTGGACCATAAATCAATACATGGAAGAATTAGACAGCCGTTTCGTCCTAGTATCAGAGTACTTGACAGTGCGCATCCACGACACTGTACGCGGAAATCGAACTCAGGACCCTCCGCCTAACGTCTAGACTACTGTGTCCGCTAGCGACTAGCTTCAAGATATAACTCCTGCAGTTCTAGTGTGACCAGCGTGATTCAATCCTTGTCGGGTGTCAGACAGTTATCCATCACTGACACTGGATGAAAGTTGCACAATATCGCGAATAGGTTGAAGTTAGACAGTAATACCGTTGGTTGCCGGTTCAGTGGTCTGGAGGTCAGGTATTTGAACACGAAACCGAAGAGCCTGGGTTCGATTACCGTGTGTGTGGTCGATGTTGCGGACTGGTGACGAGTCGCATATTAGGACGAAACGGCTGTCCAGTACCTCAAGGTATTTAGTGGTCTAACCAATATCGGTTTTCGATTTATACTTTGAAAATACTACAATCTTTACAAATTCATCCACACCAATTATGCAAATTTAATGGGAAGAATAGTGTAGCAAAAGGAACAATGAAACATCAATATTTTTAAAAAAATTAAAATGATATAACGATAAACAAAACAAAACTAGCCTTCTGCACCAGGTACCATTGCACCCATTCCCGGTGGGGGTGGTGGTGGTGGTATACCACCTGCAGATGGTGGTGGGGGTGGCGGGGGAGGAGGGGGTGGTGGCGGAGGGGGAGCAGGAGGTGGTGGTGAGGCATTAGCACCAGCAGTAGAGTTACTAACTACCCCATTCACTTGTATTTGTGATTTCGACTGTGAATTTTTAACTGTATTCAAAGTATCTTCTAGCTCACGTAGTCGTTGTTGCAAATTACGTTCACGTTCTGTTGTGCTTTTATCTTTATCCAATAGTTGAGCACGTAGTGTAGACAGTTGACCATCTTGATTAGTGCGCTGATTCTACAGTGATAATGTATAGGTAATAATAGTAACTGTAAAAATATATATTGATTACAAAAGCGAGAAATCAATGAATTAGGAATTATCAGAAGGGGTTTGTGGAGATTTTAGAAATTTTCACAGATTGAAATCATGAGTCAGTTGAAGCTAGACCACCATTGAAAACCTGGAAGCACTGGACGGCCGTTTTGTCCTAGTACGGGACTCCTCAGCAGTGCGCATCCACGATCCCGCACCCCACGGGATTCGAACCCAGGACCTACTGGCTTCGCGCGCGAGCGCTTAACCATTAGACCACTGAGCCGGCATCCAAGACAATGGTATATGGTGGCGCAACTTCGTGGATTGGTTGAAGTTAGACATTAACACCGTTGGATGCCGACTCAGTGGTCTAATGGTTAAGCGCTCGCGCGCGAAGCCAGTAGGTCCTGGGTTCGAATCCCGTGGGGTGCGGGATCGTGGATGCGCACTGCTGAGGAGTCCCGTACTAGGACAAAACGGCCGTCCAGTGCTTCCAGGTTTTTAATGGTGGTCTAGCTTCAACTGACTCATGATTTCAATCTGTGAGAATTAGGAATTGGTTAAATTAAACAAAAGCAAAAACTTAGAACGACAAACTAGTCTAAACTTTTAAACTGCTTTATGGAATTAATACACTGGAATGCGTGAACGTATGTTTAAGGGTAATATAAACTGAATATGCAAAGACTATGAGATAATCCTATCATTCCATATAACAAATACGATGCTGCTCGATGGATTGTTGAATTTCTGAGCTCAGAAACACCGGTTCAGAATAACAGTCAAGATTAAGGAATATGATTACTTCATAGTAGATAGAAATTACGAGAAATGAAGAGGTTAACAGTTATACAACAGTAGTTAATATAATCTTAAGACAGTAGAACAGACAGACGACTAAGCTACTAAGACTTATAATCGAATAACCAGGTTATACTTAGTCCATTTCCCATTATTTTTAAAAAACTAGACAGTAACTTGTCCACATGAAGTACAAAAACTGAAGGAAAACATGAAGGGAAAGTAAGAGGAAAGAGAAGACAAAAACAAAGAATAATTGGTGATTCATAACCTACAGCCTCACACTAAGTATTTTCAGATAAACAAATCCATATGTGTTTTGGACAATCATAATCATATATCATCCAATCAATTCCTTCTCTAACAGTAGTGTTTAACGTTCTAATTGACATATATGCACCAATAACAATTTCATTGACTAATTATTACATTTGCTGTTATAATCAATGTTATACAGCATTATGGAATAGAAACAATTACACCATGTAATACAGTATAAGGCTTTTATAATTAAACAAACAACAATTTGAAATAAAAACCAAATAAGTGAAATGGAAAACAGAATAAAACGCAAAGAAGGAAGAGAGGAAAAGCAGAGACACAAATTTAGATTAGACAGTCGATCAAAAAGAGGTTAAAGTCAATAAATCCATTATCTAGTTGGGAGTGATATGGAAATAAACACTACTAACTAATCACTATATATATATATATATGGCGAGAATATATTGAATTAAGTTGCATCTATGCACAGTACATCTATGCGCTACTGTACATTTGAAAAACTACAACGAATATTTTTCAAAAAGGCAAGAAACTAGTTGATGTTTTGTACATACAAAAATCGGTGAAATGGATATAAAAAACTGAAATTCATGATGAAAAAAACCCCTGATATACTATTTCTAGACGTTTATGTGTATTAGTTAGTTGGTTAACTCATTTATTTGGAACAAGATATAATATAAGTGAACAGAATAATAATTAAACAATAAACTGAATAAATTTGCCTGTAATAAGTAAAATGTTACTAAGGTATGTAGAAATTTGAATTTAATCAAAAAACAATTGAGAAACATTTGACAATATTTAAATTACGAAATAAAATTTTCACTAAACATAGTTACAAAGAAATATGCACAGACGGATTTTACAACTTCGTTACTAGTAAACGATAGAACATAGATACAGAGAATATTAAGTACTCAATTATTACTGATCTCAATTCATGGAATATTCTAAAATACACTTTTACTGTTTCATCAGACAGTCAGTCAGCTACAACGTAGGACCAGGCACATATGTGCATCGGTCCAGGTTGCCATACCGCATCAGCACAACAAGATGAACACCGGATTCATAGCAGTGGTTAGGTCAAAGGTAGTAATATATAAGAGAAAGATTGCATATAGAGATATAGTACAAGAAGAAAGAAATGGTTCGTAGAAAGAAAGATATGAAGTGATTTTAATCTCTTAGTTTAAGGGAAGACAGGGAGTGTATACACCGACGCCATTGTGATCGATTCTGAGCCATGTCACCAAGAGTCTCCAACCATTGGTTACGATAGTCACGCGGACCCCAACCAAGTAGTCTGCATCTACCAACATGGCTCAGACTAGAAGTTAGTGACTTCAAGCACTGATGCCACGTTTTGGTTTGGCCGCCCCTAACTCTCTTCCAACCATTTCCAATACCGGATAGCATTGCACGTCGTGGTAATCGGTGTTCAGGCATACGTAACACGTGGCCTAACCATCTCAGTCGATGAAGATTCATAACCTCATCAACTGATTTACCATCATTCCCTAATACCTTGCGTCTGACCTCACTATTACTTACCCGGTGATCCCAGCAGACGCCAGCAATATTTCTAAGGCATCTGTGGTCAAATACTAGTAGCTTACGAGTGTCTTCTACTCTTAATGGCCATGTTTCGCTGCCGTAAATTAAAACAGAACGGACTGCCGCGCAGTATACTCGTCCTTTTATTGATAGACGGATATCTCGCCTTCGCCACAGGTGACGTAAGTTGGCAAAAGCCAATCGAGCTTTTCGAATCCGTGCTGAGACTTCGTCCGATACCAACCCATTAGGGCTGATCAGACTTCCAAGATAAGTGAAGTTGCCAACGCGTTCGACTACTTCACTCCCTATCCTTAGTTCAGGTGTTAACGCAGACCAGTCCTGAAGCAATAACTTGCATTTAGAGGGAGAGAAGCGCATTCCAAACATCCTGGCATTGTTGCTCAGTGCTACCAGAAGACTCTGCATTTTATCAGCGTCTTTACCAAACAGGACTATGTCATCTGCGTATTCTAAGTCGATAAGTGGACCTCCTGGTAGGAGATCAATACCCGAGAATTCAGTAGACGAGAATGTTATTTCCATCAATAAGTCTATGATGAAGTTAAACAAAAATGGAGAAAGTGGACAGCCTTGACGGACACCACTTGAGGTTGCAAAAGTAGATGACAGTTCGCCATAAGCTCTCACTCGACTAGTAGTGTTCGAGTAAAGAGCCTTTACAAGGTTTATGTACTTCTGGGGTACGCCTTTCAATGACAGACACTGCCACAGAATCTCGCGGTCTACCGAGTCAAATGCTGCTTTTAAGTCGAGAAAGACCACCATTGTCGGACGCCGATAAGTATGCCTGTGTTCTAGAATCTGACGAATGGTGAATATGTGGTCGATGCAGCCACGACCAGGTCTGAAGCCAGCCTGATTTTCTCGTGTTTGCAGTTCACGAGTCTTAGTTAGGCGTCTGATAATTATCGAGGCTAGTATTTTAGATACTATATTAGTTAAACTAATCCCTCTGTGGTTGTCACAGGATGATTTTGACCCTTTCTTATATATTGGGACGATAAGTGATTGTGACCAGTTAGATGGAATAACGTCTAACTCCCAGATTTTAGCTAAAATATTAGTCAACCTAATCGCTAAAATTGGACCACCATCCTTAAAGACCTCTGGAGCCAATCCATCTGGACCAGCTGCCCTTCCTCGTTTCAGATTAACTATAGCCTTTTGAACTTCAGCAAGAGTTGGGGGACCTACTTCAATGTTCCATTCACACTGTCTGGGAATGAAGGGTAGTTGTAGAGTAGCTGAAGGCCAGCTGAACTGTTCTCTGAAATGTTCCGCCCATCGTTCTAAACGCCTGGACTGGGAGCAGATGAGTGTATCGTCTTTTTCCGATATAATCTCACTTACACTTGACTTATTAATTCCAGTTTCTTTTATTAGTCTGTAAAGCTGTCTTGTGTTCCCTATAGTCGCCGCCTTTTCCATCTCTTTTGCTTTCATTGCCCACCACTGCTCACGGTCGTTTCTTAGACTTTTTCTTAACCTAGATCTGATTTGTTGTCGCTCTTCCTCATGTTCGGAACCTGATGGGACGAGTTTGCGAGAATCCATCAGTGTGATAGACTTTGAAGAAATCCACTGGTTCTTTGTAACTCTGTGGTTTAAGTCGCTAATAGATGTCACTGCTGTTTCCACAGCTGCTTGTATATCTTTCCAAGCAACATCTGGGTCAGCCTCGTCTTCAGAACTACCTAATCGTGACCTCAGTTGTTCCTGGAACCTACTTTTGGTTTCCTCGCTACTCAGTTCGGTTCTAATGGGTCTTTTGACTGTGGCTTTTTTGCGTCCAGTGAGGCGCAAGCAGATGCGTGCCCGTATTAGGGCGTGGTCAGAGTCCAAGCAGGTACTCCAGAATGAGCGACAATCTTGTACCGACCCTCTCCAACGATGACTGATGGCAATATGGTCTATTTGAGTCCATCGTTGGCTTGGTGCAGGCGGTCGCCACGTTAGACGATGTCTCTCCTTATGCTTAAAATTCGTGTTTGCTAAAAATAAGCGATTGTCTGAGCATAGTTGCAGCAGACGATCACCATTATCTGTTCGCTGTGCCGGAATACTAAAATATCCACCTAAATGCCTTTCTGTTTGGTTTAAGCTACCTATCTGAGCATTAAAGTCACCTGCAACGAGTACTATGTCTGAGCGTTTAGCTTTCTGAAGAAGTTCAGAAAGCTTTCTGTAAAATTCATCTTTCACATCGTCTGAGCTGCAGTCAGTGGGAGCGTAGGCAGAAACGACGAAAAGGCAACGACGTGTATCCCTATCCTTCCGAGTTCTTACGGAGCCGTTTAGCCGAACACCACATAGACGACTGTTGACGGGGATCCACTCTAGCAGTGCTTGTTCCGCCCTCATGCTTAGTGCTATGCCTACACCTGCCAGTCCACGAGAACTGGCCATCGGGTCACCAGATACACGTAGGGTGTATCTCGTTGGCTCTCCGTTTTGCCGAGGTGAGGTCAAGTGAATGACCACACTGGAATCCTGTATGCGTGTTTCGGAGACACAGCATACATCAATGGAAAGAGACTCTAGGGTTTTAGCCAAGGAAGCCTGCTGACCGATTTGACATAGAGTGCGTACGTTGAAAGCTCCAATGTGTAGTTTGGAGCGAGGTTTCAGTAGACCTGGGACAGAGTTTTGAGCACTAGAATCGTTGGCTATGGTGACACTTGAGGAGGAAGCTGAAGGAGGAAGTTTAGGGTTGAAAGTCGATGTAGGAGGAATAATAGGAATTGAAGAGGAAGGTTGATTATGAATACGGTGGTCTTGGGTGCTGTTAGAGGTATGAGGGCGGTTATCACTTCCCGGTTGCCCACACCGTGGGAGGGTTCTTCTGGAGGTACCTGAAAAGGAAATTGGATTAGAGGCGGTCTCAGTGACCTGAGAGCGTGACCGCAGTGCCCAAGGGACAACTGCTTGAGGCCGGTCGCGCACGGCCTTTTCGTGGAAGGTTTTTGACGTGTTAGCTCCGTTCTTCAAAGGGCCTTACCGCCGGAGACGGAAATCCGTGAGGTAAGGTGAGGTGTGCATTTTTAGGGTCGATCTTTTCTAACCCCACCCCTTCTTGTGGGAAGGCAGCATCGCTGTCATGCTGGTTGTCTGAAGGAAACACCTTACTGCTGTCACACCTCTGTACAGTCAGCAGTACGACTTCGCCTTCGGACCCTGGGTTTGTTGCTTTTAGTCTTACCGCTCTTCAACCGACCTGTCTGACATGGTAGGACCTTGAGGAACGGTTGTTCCAGCCAGTATAGCTCGGTTGCTTCATTACGATAGGCAAGCCCGACCACCACGTCAAGGTAGCAACAACGGTCGGGACGGTCGGTGACAGTAATAAAAATTTTTCTTAAACTTACAAGAGCAGTTATAAACTAAACTTTTATTCTAATGAAATAAGCAGACATTTGATGCAAATCAACAAATTAAATTTGCAAATGATTTTGACCTAACGAATGATCATTTAATATTTTTAAAGTCATTAAAAGAAACTTACTGGTAACTTGGATGTAGGAGACACAGAGCAATAACATTCACGGCATGAGGATGCTCAAATACCATTGAACAACCACGCTGATTATTAAGTAATGTTTCATAATACAATTTCATACATATTATACATCATTGATATAAAATGTGTAAGCTGACAACTTTATAAGACTGTCAATAAACTTTTCCGATAATTCAACCGAAACAGACAGATGAAAAGTTCAGAACCTGATAAAATATTCTTACATTTTCAGAACGTCTAAAGATCACTTGTTACTATCAGTAAGGTAGGAAATACGATAAGTACTGAATAACATTTATGAAACAATATATTTGACATCGTATATTATGACTTATTTGTCAGTGTTTATGAAGGTTAAGTAACTTTTAAACACGAAAACTAATAACTTATTTCAATATTCTCAATATTTAGAAACAATGTTTACCTCTAAATCTTGATTTTTTATTTCCAAAGCTTGTATTTTTTGTTGAAGCTCCAATAATTTATTTTCATATTCTGCTTGGATTGTTGCTGTACGAGTTTGTAAAATGATCAGATCTGATTCTGCTTGTTCTTTCTCTTGTTGTAATACATCACGCATTTGTGAATCTTCTAATAACACTGCAACATCCACTTCATTATCATTATATGCTTCTATTTGACGTAGAAGACGATCACCGGATTGATTGTATATTCTCTGTAACAAAAAGATGGATAAAATGTAAATTTATCACATGATAAACGAGTTAATTGTAGAAAAACACTAACGAGAGCATTTCAAGCAGCTGAAAGAAAATATCAGAAATCAATAACCCCATGATTTATCTTGGGATTTTAGCTAGTATCATGCAGTGTGTTAGTTATAGACTACACATCACTGAGTTATGTAGGTCGTGATTGAACTTCTAAGTTGTTTAAACCAACTTACTTAATACTCAGTAGAGAGACTAATGTTAACATGTCATATGAGTTATCTATCAAAGTTCGGCGAATTTAATCACAGTGTAGAGCCTTAAAGGTTACGAGATATATAATTTTGGCCTTAAAACCCATCATGAAGGTAACAGTTACTAATGGACTGGTCGAAAGTCAAAAGGTAGCTAAAATTATTATTTCTTTATGAAAGCAATAATTATTTGTAAGATGAACAAATTCATATCCTAATGATAAGCAACATATCGTAAGATACAAATTACACATGGGTACGAATTTTCTGTTTTCACAATTATTCCCTCACTGACAGATTCACTATTAATTTTATGAATATTCCAATTAATATTATAATATTCATAGCTAATAAATATAACCTAATATCCAAAAAATATTAATATCCCGACCTATTCACTGTACATATGACCTTATATTTGCATGACGGATATTATTACAAAAATATCCAATAACCTCATGTTATATAACAGAAATTAATGACGTGACCTTGGAATAAAAATTACTTCGGAAAGTTCATATGGTCAAGAGTTATAAGATACATAAAGTCTGTAAAAAAACTTAAAACACCAGGATAGAGAAATGTAATGTTTACAGATCGATAATGCTGAAGTTCCTAATTTTGACAATAACGTCACTCACTACTTCACTAGACAATCAGCCTTGAGCACTGAAATTTTAGCTACTTTTTGCTAATTATGCTGTCCAACACGCAATTAAATACGAAGATTGAATCTCGAGAGACTTGGAGAGACGCAATTACTAAAGATAGACCAAGATAAATACCAAAGAATTAAGAAAAAGCGGTTGCCCTGATTTTATGTATCGTTGTATAAGATCATTTAATTCGCGCAACTATAAATACAAGTAATCGATGAAATATGTGCTTACAAGTGTAATTAAACGAAGAAAAAACAATCGCAATTTTGTAAGTGTCGTTTTCTGTTTATCATTGACAAAATATCAACTACATTTGTGCAAATAGTCGGTTATAAGCAACGCAGAATCTAGTATATATGTGCATTAGTTCAAGTTGGCCCATTAAAGCGAGATAAGATTATCAAGATTCGGGTAAATACATGTACGCTTCGTTTTCCATTTCTTCTTGAGTTCTAAAATTATATTATAAAATTATTTGTTCCACGGATTCATTTTTCTCCAGTCAGGTTATCTATGCCTAACATTTTATATTAACACTGTTACTGTCATTACTTCTGCTAATGATTTTGATATTTCACTCACACAGAATGTATTTCCGAAAACGTTTCTATCACAGACTGATATCAGTTGACGAAACACTGAAAACCCAAAAGAGGGAGATAGAGAATAATCAGCTATATTATCGTTCTGGTTACTTAGTTGTAAACATCCATTCATTCTAGAACTTTCCATCAATTCACATTTTTCCCATTTTATGTCTTCTGGTAGAAAGAAACACAAGTGTATTAGAATCTACACAAGCAAACAAAAGTACGAAAGCTTCACAAAATCGTATTTGATAGATATATTACAGGATTATCACGCTACAAGGACTGACATGACCAAACACCTATGCTCTTGAACATACAGGTCATTCATTATTGTAGGCGGAGAATTTCATATTGTACTGAACATATAACATTGAATAAGGAGATTATCATTAACCAATCTTAACTGTGAGTGAAAATCGTCTTCGTAAAATAAAACAATAATTTTCACAGAACTTTGTTGAAATACCCACAAAAATATACACACACCGATAAATAATTAACTAATCCGAGATGTTTAAATTCTTCTTGTAAATATACTCTTAACATTATATCATCTGTTGAATGTACAACTATATTGAAAAACTGCATACACGATACCTGAAAAATAAAAAGAAAAGAAAAAAATTATTAAATCAAAATAATTGCGATGAAATAAGAAACAATATTTTCGAAATATAATTTTATATGTAAAGAAACTAATTTATTTAAAATACATTTACGTACTCAACTTTTATTAAGTGATTATGTGAAGACTAATGAATCTAGCTGGCTGCTCTATTCCATTTAGAAAGAAAAAAGAGTTCGAACTTGTTAATCGAATGTCAAGTGATTTAATCACAAATCCACCACTCTACAATATTGTCCGTGTGACAAAAAGAATTTAGATGAATGTTAAATTATTCAAAAATGTTTGAAATTTATAAGAAACGTTAGCGACAAGTGAAACATTATTAAAGTCATATCTACAAATATTGAATTAGATAAATGTAAACAATTTAAATATGAGAGTGAAGATACTAACACAATGAATCATAATGTGAAAATTATCGGAAACTCAGTCTTGTTATTTATATAGATAACTATGACTTTTGTTTATTTAAAATTCATGATACAACAAGCTAATGATAAATGTCAAAGTACAACTGGGTCCCGCTTCTTCCTAAAAATGTTATGCTATGTTCATGTGTTTCTAATGTCTTTCTGAGGATTCTCGCCCCCCCTTTACATGAATAACATATTTTCAAACAATAAACAAAAAGAAATTGGATGTTAAGGAGTTAAATTAATGAATAAGAAAGATATATTTTGATAGTTGGAATATCCTGATTGAAAACTAACCATGTTCGTGGGCTCTAAAACCCCAAGAAAAAAAGTATGGGAATACTTTGGTCATTGTGAATGAACCTTTTGACATAGCCTTACTATTTAGTTAGACTCTTAAATGAAAGGTTCATTAATGACCTCCTAAAAATGAACCAATACACCATACGATTATAATTACAATGAAAATAGTGATAAAAAAGAGTTTGTGAAACGTAGGAAATATTCAGTCGCTAGATTAACTTCAGTTGCCATGAACAAAATTAATTAGAAAGCCTATGTAATATAATTACTGTGGTCAGAAATTACTCGAGGGAGATAAAAAAAAAGAAAAAATGGAGATGTTTCCGTAAACTCTAACATGAAAGATTTACTACTAAAATACTTTTATGTAATTAATGTGTACTTCACATTTTAGTATGGATTAAGTGCGAATTGTTGAGAATGCAATCCGAGTTGCACTAATGAATAATTTATCTAAAATTAGACAAGTAGAATATTAATTAGACAATAATGATTGAACACTTTTATGTGGTGAGTAATAAATTATCCGCCCAAAAAGAATAACAAAAAAAGGAAATTCATAATAAAAATTTATGCAATTACAATTTTTAAAAAAGGTAGTCTTTTTCTTTTCAATATGCTAAAAAGTACTCACTGTAATTGGTCTGAGTCATATTTATAAACCTCAGAAACATACAAGAACACAAAATCACGTACACGCGCCTACACACATTTCGAATTTAAAACTGTTTTGTTTCATTAGGGGTGATATTGGTAATTTGGATTGAATAAGGCATGAGCTACTGTTTGATTACTCCCATGATTTAAGTGTGAAAATAAATAGCTTCCAGGAAATTAAGATGTTGATAAGTCATATGGTCTAAATATGTTAGACACTAATTTTTTAGCCGCCTCTTAGTCCTCGAAATTCCTCCACTATTTAACCTCTAACAGAAACAGAGGATGGTAAAATGTAGAAGCTTCATTTTGAGGGTCAGATCATTTACAAAGAATAAAGGTATTCGTGGGACGACCTTGAGACCTTAAAAGCACCGAGAAAATGCGTAAAAATCAGTAACGCAATTTAGTAATTGTAAAGACAAATTAGATAAAGCGTTATCAGTAATCTAGACTTTTCTTGGCTTTTAGATAATTCTTCAAGAGGTTATCGACGATTCTCAAGAGAGTCGAAGTAATAATTAGAAAGATAATTGATGAACTTAAAGAAACAACTTCATAGTTTAAAAGACTTCATATAAAAGCACTTCTATACTTTATAAAGGGTGACACTAACTGTTTTAAGAGGACATTCTTTGTTATGGATTAGCATAAAGTAGGAAATAACTGAGAAACAGGAAGCATTAATAAACAGTTATTTCATTTTAGTTGGAAACTTTTATCTGTCACAAATGGTATAACGTGTACATAAAGGGTAAAACCTACCATCATTATAGGCGACATAATGATGAGTTGTTGAAGTGAAACCCAACTATTTATACTTTACAGTTTACATCACGGACTGACCATAGTTAAACAACGATTGAAGACCATGAAGCATTAGACAATTACTTAGGACTAGAATAAGACTCCTCAGCAGTGAGTATCTACGACTACCGAAAATCAGATCTAGGATTTTTAAATCTTGTGGTAGGCGCTTACCCTTTTAAGTACTAAGTTCGAATCGCATGGTTTATATTTACAGCATAAATTAATTTGTAACAATGAATAAAACTGTGCTAAATAATGAATGAACAAATGGGCAAATAATATAATATAATAAATAAAACAATAAATATCAATGCATAATGCATAATATAACTAGATTTCAAGAAATATTAGATATTTCTAGAACTTAAAAAGCGTTACATTGTCAGTAATCTACTGAAAAATCAATGAGGTCTAGAGCAGTTGATGGCTTACCACGAACTAAAAAGGAATTATGAGAATTAGGTCACAGTAACAAATTTCACTAAATCAAAGTAAAGAATTAGTTCTATGATCATAGTATACCGATGGAAATGCCGAATATACTTATTACGTTAATCATAGTTTTTACAAATATCGAGTTTATGCTTAACTTTACGGTAGTGAATTATCGTTTTTGAAATATCATAAAACATTCTTATTAAGAGTAATCTAACGGCTATTGGAAGGTAATGTGATATTCAGTGTCATATTTCATGGGTTTCTGAGCAATAATATTTTACTGATATCTTTTGAATCTCTAGTTGTTTGCTTTTTTACTAGTATTTTTGGATCATTTATTTCTATTTAGTTTACTTCAACATATCTTGTTTTCTGTTTTCTATTAAGAAATGTAATAACACATTAGGCTTTCCGATATCTCGTTTGTGTACCGTTTAATTGACTATACTTTTCTTTCTGTTCATGGACTGTTGATAGTTTATATATGAGTAGAAAACAGAAAACAAGATATGTTGAAGTGAACTAAATAGAAATAAATGATCCAAAAATACTAGTAAAAAAGCAAACAACTAGAGATTCAAAAGATATCAGTAAAATATTATTGCTCAGAAACCCATGAAATATGACACTGAATATCACATTACCTTCCAATAGCCGTTAGATTACTCTTAATAAGAATGTTTTATGATATTTCAAAAACGATAATTCACTACCGTAAAGTTAAGCATAAACTCGATATTTGTAAAAACTATGATTAACGTAATAAGTATATTCGGCATTCCCATCGGTAAGAACCTTCCATAATTCCATGAAACTAAATGTAGTCAGTTTGCGTTGATAGTTAATATACGAAGGCTGCACAATATAGAAAGAAGTAAAAATATAACTGACAATTCTGTTATTGTGTGTCATTAAAAGTGACAACTGACCCTAGGATTTTTAGAAAATTACATAAGTACATGGATTGTTTACAATGTTCTTAGACTACAATCGAACTTTCCAATTCGTGACATCAGACTAATGCAAAGATACCGAACAATAATAACACACAAATATTATTAAACACTAATCCAAATTAAATAACTCGTTTATTAAAAATATATAAAACTATCCTCAAAACTATTTGAAAACACTATTTCAGCACATTTTTATTTTGTAGTTCAATGATCAATCTCAATAAATCATAATATTCAATAGAAATTTAATAAATTGAGATAAAAGTAATTACACTTACCATAAAATCCATATTATAATCGGGAGATTCAGATTCATGTGTGAAAAAATAATGTATTAAATATTCAAAACGTGTAGACTCCCCAACTTCCTTTTTAAAATTATCAAATGCATTTAATACGCGTTCATGTCCACCAGTGATTAAGCAGACAACAGTTAAAAGTTCAAGTACTAAGGTTTTTGTTCTTAGAATGAAAAGAAAAACAAAACGATAATAACAATTAGATTGAAAAAAATAAAATAAAACCCGTGAATAAAAATTAATGTCTATGGAAGCCTACCATTATTATCGTTAATATAAGAAGTATAGGTAAAGACCAACTATAAGTTAACTCTCATACATTATCGGCGATTTTGTTTGAAGATTTGAGACCAACAGCTCGGTATGATTTTAAAAAAAAGGGTAAAGAAAGGAAAAATACTCTGCCATTTAAACAGCAAAAAGCACAAGAGCTAACAAACAGTGGTGAAACCGATTTTAGAGAGAATTTATGTTGCCTAATTATTAGCAAAGTGATGACTGGTACGATAAAAACTTTTTAAAGCTAATGTCAAAATAAGCCCCATCAAAACTGTCATTTAACATAAATATACAAATACTGTAAGAAATCTATAGAATTAGAAAGAATACCATTGCTTTCATAAATTATTGTACAGTCAGGACCTTCACTTACAGTTCCAGTAATAATGTCATCTGGCATTTACAACATAGGAAGCTTTGCGATTATCACTAATTGATCACTCAGTAGTAAACAATACCATCTTGTTTATTACTTATCTTTGATTGAAATCCAGTTGAACAGGTCCCAGTGTAGTTACTAACCTGAAGGACAAAGCATGGCAATCAGCTATTTCTGATGTTGAGGGAGTAGAGATGTTCATCGAGAATCTCTAAACTTACGTCCTGTGTTAGCTAACACTCATAGGCGGTGAGCATTCACAATTTTGAGAGAACTGACACTTCTATATGAATCGAATCAGCATGCAAAAGTACCACAGTCAGATACATTATCATTGGACTATTCTGATAGCACTGATTATATGTTTCTTTTTAAATCAGTGTGGAAATGCGCGACAGACATCTGCATAAACATATGTCATCAATAACAGAATAGTTGAAATATATCATAAACCAGTTTCAGTTGTTGGAAGAATCGTCCGACATGTTCGCATAAACAAATGGACATTATTACCCAGAGTGAACACAGGTATTATCGTATAACATTGAGAAACATAACTAAAAGCTTAATTGTTCCCGTCAAATTCTTGTCAAACGTGAGATTTGAGTAATGTAGTTTCGATCAACTCAGTCAGTCAGTCAGCTACAACGTAGGACCAGGCACATATGTGCATCGGTCCAGGTTGCCATACCGCATCAGCACAACAAGATGAACACCGGATTCATAGCAGTGGTTAGGTCAAAGGTAGTAATATATAAGAGAAAGATTGCATATAGAGATATAGTACAAGAAGAAAGAAATGGTTCGTAGAAAGAAAGATATGAAGTGATTTTAATCTCTTAGTTTAAGGGAAGACAGGGAGTGTATACACCGACGCCATTGTGATCGATTCTGAGCCATGTCACCAAGAGTCTCCAACCATTGGTTACGATAGTCACGCGGACCCCAACCAAGTAGTCTGCATCTACCAACATGGCTCAGACTAGAAGTTAGTGACTTCAAGCACTGATGCCACGTTTTGGTTTGGCCGCCCCTAACTCTCTTCCAACCATTTCCAATACCGGATAGCATTGCACGTCGTGGTAATCGGTGTTCAGGCATACGTAACACGTGGCCTAACCATCTCAGTCGATGAAGATTCATAACCTCATCAACTGATTTACCATCATTCCCTAATACCTTGCGTCTGACCTCACTATTACTTACCCGGTGATCCCAGCAGACGCCAGCAATATTTCTAAGGCATCTGTGGTCAAATACTAGTAGCTTACGAGTGTCTTCTACTCTTAATGGCCATGTTTCGCTGCCGTAAATTAAAACAGAACGGACTGCCGCGCAGTATACTCGTCCTTTTATTGATAGACGGATATCTCGCCTTCGCCACAGGTGACGTAAGTTGGCAAAAGCCAATCGAGCTTTTCGAATCCGTGCTGAGACTTCGTCCGATACCAACCCATTAGGGCTGATCAGACTTCCAAGATAAGTGAAGTTGCCAACGCGTTCGACTACTTCACTCCCTATCCTTAGTTCAGGTGTTAACGCAGACCAGTCCTGAAGCAATAACTTGCAATTAGAGGGAGAGAAGCGCATTCCAAACATCCTGGCATTGTTGCTCAGTGCTACCAGAAGACTCTGCATTTTGTCAGCATCTTCACCAAACAGGACTATGTCATCTGCGTATTCTAAGTCGATAAGTGGACCTCCTGGTAGGAGATCAATACCCGAGAATTCAGTAGACGAGAATGTTATTTCCATCAATAAGTCTATGATGAAGTTAAACAAAAATGGAGAAAGTGGACAGCCTTGACGGACACCACTTGAGGTTGCAAAAGTAGATGACAGTTCGCCATAAGCTCTGACTCGACTAGTAGTGTTCGAGTAAAGAGCCTTTACAAGGTTTATGTACTTCTGGGGTACGCCTTTCAATGACAGACACTGCCACAGAATCTCGCGGTCTACCGAGTCAAATGCTGCTTTTAAGTCGAGAAAGACCACCATTGTCGGACGCCGATAAGTATGCCTGTGTTCTAGAATCTGACGAATGGTGAATATGTGGTCGATGCAGCCACGACCAGGTCTGAAGCCAGCCTGATTTTCTCGTGTTTGCAGTTCACGAGTCTTAGTTAGGCGTCTGATAATTATCGAGGCTAGTATTTTAGATACTATATTAGTTAAACTAATCCCTCTGTGGTTGTCACAGGATGATTTTGACCCTTTCTTATATATTGGGACGATAAGTGATTGTGACCAGTTAGATGGAATAACGTCTAACTCCCAGATTTTAGCTAAAATATTAGTCAACCTAATCGCTAAAATTGGACCACCATCCTTAAAGACCTCTGGAGCCAATCCATCTGGACCAGCTGCCCTTCCTCGTTTCAGATTAACTATAGCCTTTTGAACTTCAGCAAGAGTTGGGGGACCTACTTCAATGTTCCATTCACACTGTCTGGGAATGAAGGGTAGTTGTAGAGTAGCTGAAGGCCAGCTGAACTGTTCTCTGAAATGTTCCGCCCATCGTTCTAAACGCCTGGACTGGGAGCAGATGAGTGTATCGTCTTTTTCCGATATAATCTCACTTACACTTGACTTATTAATTCCAGTTTCTTTTATTAGTCTGTAAAGCTGTCTTGTGTTCCCTATAGTTGCCGCCTTTTCCATCTCTTTTGCTTTCATTGCCCACCACTGCTCACGGTCGTTTCTTAGACTTTTTCTTAACCTAGATCTGATTTGTTGTCGCTCTTCCTCATGTTCGGAACCTGATGGGACGAGTTTGCGAGAATCCATCAGTGTGATAGACTTTGAAGAAATCCACTGGTTCTTTGTAACTCTGTGGTTTAAGTCGCTAATAGATGTCACTGCTGTTTCCACAGCTGCTTGTATATCTTTCCAAGCAACATCTGGGTCAGCCTCGTCTTCAGAACTACCTAATCGTGACCTCAGTTGTTCCTGGAACCTACTTTTGGTTTCCTCGCTACTCAGTTCGGTTCTAATGGGTCTTTTGACTGTGGCTTTTTTGCGTCCAGTGAGGCGCAAGCAGATGCGTGCCCGTATTAGGGCGTGGTCAGAGTCCAAGCAGGTACTCCAGAATGAGCGACAATCTTGTACCGACCCTCTCCAACGATGACTGATGGCAATATGGTCTATTTGAGTCCATCGTTGGCTTGGTGCAGGCGGTCGCCACGTTAGACGATGTCTCTCCTTATGCTTAAAATTCGTGTTTGCTAAAAATAAGCGATTGTCTGAGCATAGTTGCAGCAGACGATCACCATTATCTGTTCGCTGTGCCGGAATACTAAAATATCCACCTAAATGCCTTTCTGTTTGGTTTAAGCTACCTATCTGAGCATTAAAGTCACCTGCAACGAGTACTATGTCTGAGCGTTTAGCTTTCTGAAGAAGTTCAGAAAGCTTTCTGTAAAATTCATCTTTCACATCGTCTGAGCTGCAGTCAGTGGGAGCGTAGGCAGAAACGACGAAAAGGCAACGACGTGTATCCCTATCCTTCCGAGTTCTTACGGAGCCGTTTAGCCGAACACCACATAGACGACTGTTGACGGGGATCCACTCTAGCAGTGCTTGTTCCGCCCTCATGCTTAGTGCTATGCCTACACCTGCCAGTCCACGAGAACTGGCCATCGGGTCACCAGATACACGTAGGGTGTATCTCGTTGGCTCTCCGTTTTGCCGAGGTGAGGTCAAGTGAATGACCACACTGGAATCCTGTATGCGTGTTTCGGAGACACAGCATACATCAATGGAAAGAGACTCTAGGGTTTTAGCCAAGGAAGCCTGCTGACCGATTTGACATAGAGTGCGTACGTTGAAAGCTCCAATGTGTAGTTTGGAGCGAGGTTTCAGTAGACCTGTGACAGAGTTTTGAGCACTAGAATCGTTGGCTATGGTGACACTTGAGGAGGAAGCTGAAGGAGGAAGTTTAGGGTTGAAAGTCGATGTAGGAGGAATAATAGGAATTGAAGAGGAAGGTTGATTATGAATACAGTGGTCTTGGGTGCTGTTGGAGGTATGAGTGCGGTTATCACTTCCCGATTGCTCACACCGTGGAAGGGTTCTTCTGGAGGTACCTGAAAAGGAAATTGGATTAGAGGCGGTCTCAGTGACCTGAGAGCGTGACCGCAGTGCCCAAGGGACAACTGCTTGAGGCCGGTCGCGCACGGCCTTTTCGTGGAAGGTTTTTGACGTGTTAGCTCCGTTCTTCAAAGGGCCTTACCGCTGGAGACGGAAATCCGTGAGGTAAGGTGAGGTGTGCATTTTTAGGGTCGACCTTTTCTAACCCCACCCTTCCTTGTGGGAAGGCAGCATCGCTGTCATGCTGGTTGTCTGAAGGAAACACCTTACTGCTATCACACCTCTAAACAATCAACAGTACGACTTCGCCTTCGGACCCTGGGTTTGTTGCTTTTAGTCTTACCGCTCTTCAACCGACCTGTCTGATATGGTAGGACCTTGAGGAACGGTTGTTCCAGCCAGTATAGCTCGGTTGCTTCATTACGATAGGCAAGCCCGACCACCACGTCAAGGTAGCAACAACGGTCGGGACGGTCGGTGACAGTAATAAAAATTTTTCTTAAACTTACAAGAGCAGTTATAAACTAAACTTTTATTCTAATGAAATAAGCAGACATTTGATGCAAATCAACAAATTAAATTTGCAAATGATTTTGACCTAACGAATGATCATTTAATATTTTTAAAGTCATTAAAAGAAACTTACTGGTAACTTGGATGCAGGAGACACAGAGCAATAACATTCACGGCATGAGGATGCTCAAATACCATTGAACAACCACGCTAAAAAAATAAGACGAACACACATTTACACAGTATGAGTAATTTATTGTAAGCAGTAATTACGGTGATATTTATAATGGCTAGAAATGTACGCTTTACATCCCAGAATGCAAACTGGTTCAATCCGTCGAAAGAATTCGTTGACTACCAAGAATATAAATAGCGAAGACAACGCAAACAGAGTATATTACCAAACAAATATATCTGGGGAGAAATAGTGTGTATAAATATAGTATCTGCTTTAAGAATCACAGTTTAACAATGATTTACAATTTCTTGATATTGTTCCAAAAAGGAGCGTACATTAAATTTTAACGCAAAGACAAGACTAATACTTGTCTCTGAAGAGAGATGGCTATCAAAATGAGTAAATACGAAAGTAAATGAATATTTGAAAAAACATTATAGAAAGATGAATAGGGATGTTTCATTTGTTTATGTGGGTAAAAATTATGAACGCTGCTTTCCAATTACACTCTGGTCAAAAATCATTAACATAATTTCATTGGTCTTACAAGAAGTCACTTTCTTCAAAGTTAACTAAGTGTATTATCAGTGAAATCTGACTGGTTTGAGAGACTAAATGTAAAACTTAGTCAAGTAATGTTGAGTGTTGATGAAATAAGGGAATGTATAAATGAATTATAGTGAAAAAAACAATGAAAATACTGCTGTAGTAAACAACAACTCGAACCCTAAAACCTCTTTTAGTCTATTAGTTAAAATCCCATATCAAGAAAATTATGTTGTATAATAACAAACCTGATTATTAAGTAATGCACGAAAGCATCTGACACCTTGATGAAGACTATCCCTGATTGAATCAGATATGTGTCGGACATGAACAGGCGAAAAAGAAATGCGATCATGTTTTTTTTTCCTTAAACTAGAGCACCATAAACCAGATCCAACTTTATCACTTTCATTAATATCATCGCACAGATCAGTTATAGAAACTGCTTGATCCGAGCTAAATGAACCTAGAAGAGCAGAACGTTGTTGCTGAATGGCATCCACGGTAGGGCGGAAATCAGTTCTAAAATTAAATTAATAGAAATGATGTTAGCACAAATAGGTGTGAATATATGCTAGTTAACTAGAACAAGCATATTTTTACATTGGAGTCATTAAAATGGCATGCAAACAATCGGTCGACTCAGTTTACGAAAAGATAGAGTAGAAAAAAAAGGGATGATTAAAACTCCATTTTTGTTTATAAATAAATCAGAAACGGGAATCAAGCTATGAAAAGCGATGAAACATCATTGTTCATCAAACTTATAATCAAAGTATATTAATTATATGATAAAAAGCCATGCGTTCTCAAGATATTCTGAAGAGGAAAAACTATCAACCTACTCTTTGTATGGCGACTATTGACGAAATATAGAATATGCGTCTTGTCATATTATGAAATAATGTTATATCTACCTATATTTTATAAAATACCAGTATTCTCACTGACATTAAGAGCTAATACCTACATTTATCATGATACTTTAATCGTTTTATGGATAACAACATATGTACTTGAAGTTGTTGGTGCTAAATTCGAATTTATGTAAAGATTGTAATATATACGGAAATGTGAGCAGGCATATTAGTTAGGTGAGACTGAACGTGTCCTGAATTTCATCGTTATCAGTGAGAACGAACCACATTCGAATCATCCCATATGACGGCCTAGGCCAGTTAAATCACATCAAGTAATTTCAATAATCCAACAGACAATTAAAAATATTAGCATTCTAACTTCACATAAACAAATCAAACGACAAAAATCACTACATACTCATGTATTTATAATAGTAGACTATTAGTTAACAACATATATCATTTCATCAACAAAAAAGCGCACATTTAAAATGATTCAGTTTGAAGTGGTGTAGGTAAATGGAAATTCTTAGTCTGGGACATAACTAGCACATGTAAAAACCCATGCATTATGTAACTTACGACAAAATAGAACATTTTCTAAACCTTTTGAAACTGTTTAGTTACAGATTTGAAAATGAATTAAAATTCTGGCTTACCTCATAACCATGTGTATTACTCTAGATACATAATTCACTAATGCTTCCAAACCCTCTTGATCGAGAAAATCATAAACCCAACTAAAAGTGAATGTATACAACCCCACCACTTCTAGAAACTTACGCTACATTGTTTGTTCGCAATGATATTTCTGTAGCTAAAAGGATTTCTTTTGCTTGCTGTGCATCACCTTTACGTGGATTCTAAAAAAAATTGTTAGCGAAAATAATCAAACCTTTGTCAATGTTGACCGCCCGACACGCAAGCCTTTAATCAGGCTAACATAATGAAAAGCGGAAAACTTTGGATTTTTTACAGCCTAAAGTATGATTTCAATAAAACAGTACACAGGCGTTTACATAATTTTCCAATAATTGACGTTTCTGATCATCGGGCAGCTGTTCAATACCCTTGGCTTTATCAGGGTCAACGTCTAATGACTGTATAAAGTTTGCCCATTGATCTTCATATTTTGGGGTATTTTCATGATTCATGATTTAACCAGTATATATAGATGCATTCGAGTTCAAAGCAAAGAACAGGTTTCAAGAGCTAGCAAACATGAAACGTTTGATAAGCATTACAACACTGATTATAAAATTTAAAAAGTTGTCACTATACAAACAAAAAAATTATACAAAGAACGTTTCTCAGAAATACATACCAAGAAAAGTTAAATATTCTTAAAGTATTCCATATTAATCTAAACTTCATCTGCACTTTAGAACAAAGATACTTTCCGACTCACATTGTCGACATCTAGCAGAAAAGATCGCTTAAAAAACGCTGAACACGAGGAAACATAGAACGATATACAATGTTACATAGTCTCAAGCAATCTCACACTAAAATCTAGTCAACACGAAGTAAGGATATTGAAATGGAAACAGAGAAGGCAAGAGATCGCCGGTAATATAGTTACATGATGGTTGATCACTTGGCTAAGATGAACCTAACAACAATAAATTGTATTTGTTACCTAATCTTGAAAGTTTGCCTATTATTAACTCACGGATCTTAGGGTTAAAAGCTTGCAGTTTTAAACAGGATGCTGATAGGCTTGATTAATAAGATTTCGACAGTATCAAACACTAAGAAAGACACTGATTAGTTAGAAGCAGCTTATGGATAAAACATATTAATGCGCTAGATAATTGTCCAAGGTCGTGCACTGTTTATGAATGACAACTACGAAATTATGACAAGTTATGGGTAGTAACACGTATATCTTTGTACTCAGTGTGAAACAACAGAATATACAACCCTTTAGTTTCCTACGCTTCTTCAGTAAATGTAAACAATAAATATGTGTATCCAAGTTACTGAGCCCAACGTGTCATCAAGAAACGATCAACATCAGGCATAGAGTTATGTTACCTGACCTTAAGATTACTTTTTTGACTATTAAGTATGGGTACCACTTCAAAATCACATTCCGCACGTTCCCCACTCATACAGAATTTTCTATGTACGTAGAGTGAAATTTCACGACACTAACCCACTATTTCAATTAATTACAGAGCATTTAACTCCATGGGTCTCCTATGTAGTTGTATTGCATATCAATCTAATAAGTGAGCAGTAGAAACGTCAGACAGTAAAGTGCACAAAAGATATGGCGAATTGGCAGACAAGGCGACTAGTTTGGATTGCTAGATGTATCCGGGGCATATACTGTTCATTTTCGGTCACTGAGTACCTAAACACGCAATTTCGGCAAGCAAAGAGCCACGTTAGATAGGAAAACGTGGCCAGAACAATACATGACTTCATTATATGAACCTATTGGTTGCTGATCTGATTCGTAGTGTACTATAAACTAAGAATCTCAACTTTGTTCTTAGTTTAAAAACAATTTTATTTGTGTTTCAGGAAAACGTTTAGAGAAAATTTATCAAGTATGATTAAGATCGGTACTAATCCGATTTCGCTACATTACCCTTTTTATAGATGTTGAAGTTTAACTCGTGAAAACTGTTTTAGAGTTGGTATAAAGTACTGTATAGAAAGAAACTTCAGGCACTAAAGCTGAGTAATGTATTTTAAGTAAACGACAGTAACTTCCAAATACATAATAAGCATTACTCACGTGTATATCCCTGATTTGTTGGACATGCACAGTGAGTCAAACGAGAGTTACCTTCATATTGTTAGCAAACTTCGTCATCCTACCTACGTCGAAACCTGTAACATAATTTTAATTTCCTTCAAGTTTCTAGTACATAATGTGGATCAGATAAACAGCCAAAAAGTCCGCAGACCAAAATAATTTCTTGGCCTGGTTACAGTTATTTATCATAAAAAGTCTTCCGCACTAGTTTCAGGCAAACATCTCCAAACAATGTGAAAATGATACAACCACTCATGAAAATGTATAGAATTATTGAGTCGCACAGCAGCTCCAGAAATCAAGAAGTGACATCGTTTGAAAAGATGGATGTCTGGTTCACAAGAAGAAAACATAAAGGTGGAAAATAATATCCGACAGAAGCAAAATATGCTGACGACCTTTAGTTAATAATCGGAATTCAGATAGCATCCAATTATTTTGCGCAAAGTTCTAAGTGGAGCGATAACGTGTCATTATGAACCAAATGAAAATCAACGAATTCGGTTCTTAAAATTTGAAAACAATGGAAATATCTACTAGTTAGCGGCAAAGTAGAGTTTAGGTGGCGCTTAAGCTAAATTACATGACATACTTAATTTTGAGCAAAATTGTGTCTAAGTAGATTATGCTGATTATTAAGTAATCAAGAGTTTAGTGAATCTAGATATTCTCCCTTTCTTACTGTCACTATAACTATCAGCCCTACGTTTGTCAGGCTTGTAAACAGAAAGATAGGAAAACATTGTGTTAAAGCTGCTGTCAGTTCATGTTGAAAACGCTCACCCCAATTAGGAAATTCAACTCAAAACTCCAGCTTAACTCTTCATCCTAACCTTAAACTTACTGCATTATGACTGATATCGAGTGGTGACGAAGACTCTAGGATGTGACAAACCTTGATTAAAATTTTATTATGTATTTGTTCATGTAAATTTGTCATTCTTACTTTATTAAAAGGGATAGTTTACCTAACGACAGTTATTTATTACGATTAAAGCTGATTTTTTATTACTCTATTGCCTTGAATTCTCAATTGTTTGATGACTAGGAAATTTTCTAGATGGGCTGATAATACGCATAGGGTCGTCAGTATATCATACTGTGACCCAATATCCTTAAGCGACATATTTTCAAGCACCATAACCATTACATAGGGATCCAAAAGGCTCTAGTGAATGAACTATAAATGCATCAGAAAGATTTACGAGTGAACAATATAAGTTTAACTGGATGTGAGATACATAACGACCTCTCAAGTCAACATACCGAAACACAATAAACAAGATGAAAAAACCTAGGTCATCCACGCCCTTTTAAAAATCACCTGTCACTGGGATAAAATCGTTAGCGTGTTTAAACAAATTAAACATCTAATGTCTTGATAGTGAGAAAATAATAAAGACCCTGCCTTGGCAAAAATAAAAAAATTGTTTCATCTATTGTTGTGTGCTTGATTCGCAGATGATATTTATGAGACGTACGCTAATGCGGATATTTATGTGAAGTTAAGCTTCACAAATGTAACATATTGTATTGAAAAATCACTGGTGGAATTATTTACTTTTGTTAGCAGAGTTTTAGTGTGTTGGATTGAAAGTTCTAAGATGTAGAGATTTTTAAGATGAAAGTGCTTGTTCAGGTGTGTGACACAATTTCATTTAGTTACGCCATCTAGACAATAGGAAATAAACAGTGAAGCAATACTTGTTACTTCACAAGAGTCATTAACTATCTTGTTATTAATACTTAAATGAATTTCGTACACCAGATCATGAATGAATTCAAACAACGCTAATGACGCGGCTGTGTAATAGTATACAAAATTTCCGTAATTCTCCAAATTTGCATCAAGCGACTTTGTGTACTCACGATTTCAAACAGCATACGGTTGTTCTGATTTCGATTATTTAAACGTGATATAACATAATCCCTAAGTACGGTGAATAAGATCATCTGGTACACACAAATATGGATATTTAAGTGGACGTAAGACCATCACCGCATGGGCCAGTTCATGGCGTAGGACTAAGTGACTGGTTATACTTGACCTTGACAGAGGTCGATGATCGGTTCGATATTCAGTGACCCAACCGCCGAATGATTTGGTTAGGGCTTAGTGACATTTCGCGGAACCTAGAGTACACCCCCACTACTGCAATACTAATGTGTGCTTCAGTGTCCTGATGTTCAAGCATAGTTGCTTTAGCGACAAGATCCTTAATTGTGGAGAATGCTTTTCTCACTGTGTCGTCTAGATTGATGGATTTCGCATTTCCACGAAGTTGGTCGGTTAGCGGTTTCATAAGTGACGCGCACTTAGGTATGAACTGTCTATAGAAACTTACAAGGTTGTTGAACGTGTGTAATTGCTTAACGGTGGTCGGTTCTGGGTAATCCAGAATGGCCACCACTTTGGCTCTAAGGAGTCGAATGTCTTGCGCATCTATAGTGTGTCCTAGGCAGTCTAATGAGTCACTTCCGATTTGGCATTTCTGAATGTTTACAGCATACTTATCGAGTAGTGGTTGATAGAATGGGTCCATCGTATGCTTAATGACGGGATAATCTGCAACCAGAAAAAGAAGTTACGCAAACGGATAAATTAGTGTTTCCGTCTACTAGCCTCCGTCCGCGCGTATCGATGAGTAGACCATGGTGTTGTAGAAGGTTTATATCAATGGTTGGTATAGAAACATCTGCAACAACGAAAATCCAATGTGTGGGTTTGCGTAAACCCACGTTAAGGTAAACGTACCTTTTACCGTATGTAGCGATAGGCTTTCCGTTCGCCACCTGTAGATTTAAAACCGATTCATGAAGCCGGTCGTTGGAATTCGCTGGGAGAACGCTAACTTCTGCGCCAGTATCGACGAGGTAGCGAACTTTCGTTATAACATCTGCGACGTATGACAGACGGCTATGTTTGCCGGCTACAGTTGCCGTTAACGCGTGCCGGCTTGAAAGTTTCCCGAATTGTTTTTCGTGTCGGTCGATTTTGAGTTGGGAAAATCGCAGGGTCTACTGCGATTTCTAGAGGACTTTCCATACTGGTTATGATATCAGCACCAGTCGTGGTTATCAGTTTCTCTTGACCTAGAGGGAGATAGCCTACCTAAAGTGCTCGTTCGTGAGGTGTGTGACAGTTTACGGTCGTTACGAAATTTAAGATAACATGTCAGTGTATGACATAACTCTGTTATGTCGTTCTGGGTCGTTTTAAGCTTTTCTTTGATGGATTTTGTGATTTCTGAAATGTGGTCGTCAGATGCAGCTGGCTCGTCTAAGGCGTTGTTGTGGAACGAGACAAGCACAGCTTGCGCCTGTTGAGGTTGTTTCAACAAGAAAAGATGTTTTTTGGCCTATAGCCTTTCTAATTCTTTGCAACATGTCTGTTGCAGAACCATGTTGCAGGTCGATGCTATTAAGGAGTCGGTCTAACTTTTGTCGATCGGACAGATGTCCGCGTTTAAGAATAGAATAGGCTCACCAATGAAGATGCCACATGTGTTTGGAGTTTGACAACGCTTTAACCAGTAACACCTTCTAATATGAAGCGCACCCACCATGTGAAATCAAAAGACAGAAGAAAGGAGGTTCGAAGATATATTCGATTTGCTACCAATATATCGAGGATCATCTGATTTAATCTGGCTAGCGATTGCTTGGGTTGTTGAGCACGGCGTTACCACTCGTGATCTGGTGCGGATGCATGACCGAGCGCCTTCAGCTAGATGAATCCATTACAATTAATGTGGGCAGCATCGAATGTTGAAGTCTTACGGAGCTACTTAATTTGTGGATTTATTTACCGCTACACATTCTTCAGAAATCTGAGATGAATATTGATCATTTTATACGGTTGATTGAAAGTGGTTATCTAAAATACTTCTGTTGCGTACTATCCGTCTAAACGTATGTATTTAGCATTCTCTTGGAAAGTTCAGTCGGCCGTGCTACGTTTTACTCACCAAAACTGACAAAGCTTCTTCTCTGTTGCAGTACTTCAGCTACTTACAAAGCTACTTATTTTGAGAAGTGATTTACCATAAGGTGTGCAGGCACGTAGAACAATCTGTTTAGGGCTCTGTCTGCTTACAAAAATTTTGAAATGATGTACGAAGTTGAAGAGGTATATGAACAATGTATTGCAAGGGGATCGGTCCCATTTTTACTGTACATCCCTAGTTCTATTCTTATTGCTCAGTGAAGAAATATATGAGGCTTATTTGCATGTCCTCTTATCTTTCTGAATGCTATTCTCCAAGCTATCTACGGATGAACTGTGGAGAGCATAATAAATAATCTTGATCATCACTTGGGTTATATTCAACAGAACCCTGGATTCAAATTCATATGAAGCATATCTAACATTTGTTGAAGCATGGTATTTGTGAAACAGAATAAATTTTGTCAGCCACTTAAAGCTTTGTGTCACACTTTTGAGTAGCCATATAATTTGGTGACACACGTGATCACTTCCAGGCTTGAAAAGGACAGTCTAAAAGAGGGTCTTTATGAATTTTTTATAATTACGTTCTCTCAGATATAGATAGAACTCAGCGTAAATATGAAGGCTTATAAATCCCTACCGGATATAGCAAGCTATCGAAACTGTGTTTACCAAGGGCAAGCCCGCCATGGCGGACCACGTCTTAAGATCACTATAACTGAACTTGGACCAAAGTGAGCTGTAGCTGTAATTCCTCACAACAAACAATTATGTAGGTCTTAGATATTTGTGCTGACCTTATTCATTTAACTGAAACCAACATTGGTGAGGGCGATGACCTACGCATTAGGACGAGATCACGAGTATGCTGTGCTACACATCCATTGCAACTACTAGCCAGCATGAGTCAAACCCTTCCTAACACATCAGCAGCTTCCCAGGTACCTCTTCAAAAACTAATTTATCAGTGATTTCTGATTTGACTGGGTTGGTATCTTTCAATTTTAGAGGTTTTATGTGCAAAGATGTTAGCAAAATCTGAATGTCTGTTGCATATATTTCACTCTCACGGCTGGTTCTTTACTCCTCTTCACTTTCTCTGGCAGATGTTCTAAGTCTGGACAGTATTGGTGTCCGAATATGGCGTTTTGTCTTCGGGAGATGCGTCTTCTTATTCGGTTTTTAGTTTGGCCGAAAAGATATTTAACTAAATACATCGTTGAACATGAACTATCTGTCGCTTAACCAAGGATGATCTTACGTATCTCAGCAGCTGAAATCACTACATAACCTATTAGCATATGTTCATCACCTTATCATTATTTCATGTTAAGTCCGAATTTTTCTCAAGGTTATTATTGAAGCTCGGTTGATTGATACACTTGTGACTTACGACCCAGATAACTAAATGAAAATTCCAGCGTAGGTAATAAAGTTTACTCTTAGACTACGAATAATCAACTCAAGTGTATTGTTCTAGTAATAATCACAACCATTTTACAACAAACCTACAACTACTAGTTACCCGAAGCAAGGTTTTTAAAATAATTAATGGGGCTTGCGGAAAGTTCGGTAATTTTAATGGTTGAACTCATGGGTCGAAGTGAGCCAGATCACCAGTGAAAACCTGGAAGTACTGGATGGCCGTTTCGTCCTAGTATGGGACTCCACAGCAGTGTGCATCCGCAATCCCACTCGCAAGGTTCGAACCCAGGTCCCTCGTTCTCGCGCGCAAGCGCTTAATCTGTAGACCACTGAGAAGGTATCCAGTGGTGTTAGTGTCCGACTTCCATCGATCCACGAATGGCTTCGCAACCACTTATCCATTTTTGACGATAGATACCTGACTCTACCCGACACGGATCAAACTCTACTGGTCACAGTTTTTCACTAGAACACCAGTAAATCATCTTGGAGCCAGTCACCACTGAACACATGATTATGATCAGAATGAGGCTTGTGAAGATTGTAGTAGTTTTAACAGCTCAATTCGTGATTAATCGAAAACGTCGGAAATAATAGTTTTAAATATAACATTTATTATTCGACTAAATAGTTTCGGTTTTTGTAGTAGTAGTTTACTTTTATTGATCCTCATCGTATTTTTCGATATCATATTCATCTACGCCCATACAAAGTGGTATATATGGGTTACATCCGAAACTCTTTTCACTATGACTCACCAATTCCTGTTTGGTATCCCACGAACTGTCTCAGTAGTTCACTTCAAACTTTAGTACGACGCTATGTAAGCGCCTCGTCTACGGCCAAGAGATCTCTACATTATTTGTTTGAAACATAGCATCTATAAAAATAACGTATTTCTGATACGGGTTATAGTGCTTTATATTATATTCATCTAGATCATCAAGACATGAATTCGAAGCAAGGGCATGATC